TTTTAATGTTTCCGAGTCTACATACACACATATATATATATATGTACATACAGATGTGTGATTATATATCCCTGGCTCTCTCCCTGTCTCTCTCTCTCTCTCTCTCTTCATTTCCTTCTCTTTGTCTCTCTCTCTCTCTCTCTCTCTCTGTCTCGCTCTTTATCTCTCTTTCTCGCGTTTTTTATATTAATGTCCATATATCGCTTTATTTGTCTCTCTTTCTTTTTTTCTGTCTCTCTCTCTCTCTCTCTCTCTCCCTCCCTCTCTCTCTCTCTCTCTCTCTATCTCTCTTTTTCTCTCTCTCTCTCTCTCTCTCTCTCTCTCTCTCTCTCTCTTTTCTCTCTCTCTCTCTCTCTCTCTCTCTCTCTCTCTCTCTCTCTCTCTCTCTCTCTCTCTCTCTCTCTCTCTCTCTATATATATATATATATCGCTCTTTCTCTCTCTCTCTCTCTCTGTCTCTTTCTCTATATCTCTCTCTCTCTATATATATATATATATATATTTCTCTTTCTCTCTCGTTCTCTCTTTATATATCTCTCTCTCTCTCTCTCTCTTTCTCTCTCTCTCTCTCTCTCTCTCTCTCGCCCTGTCCATGCATATATACATACATACATGTATACACATATGTCGTTATAGTTCTAGCCATACAGATGTGCGTGTGTGCATATTTGCATATATGTATGACTGTGCACTGTTGCTTGTATCATGGACACGTACGCATGCTTAGAAATACACAGACATGTTTCCAAGACAGTGCTTGTGCTAAGGGGGCCCTTGTTGGTTCCCTAAGTAATTGGCTGGGTATGCCGCGTTTCCGCCTGATGGACGCGCGCGCACACATTCGTCAGTCTCGTAGCAGCATGTTTCAATAATCCCTGGCAACAAACACACAAAGCCCATTTGTGGGCACATGTCAAGATCACACCGAACACATTAGTGTCGCAAGTATATTAGTTTCGCAACCATGTCAACCATATGTTTATAATTGTGTATGCATAACTCTATATATATATACATATATATATACATATACATATACATACACAGATCTACTGGAAATCCTTGTGAGGTTTTTCCGAGAGGGGGTTGTCCGCTGGGGGTTGTCTGGGTCCTTGCGGTGTTGTCCAAGGGGTTGTATGGGCCGCGTCGTCTTGCTAGCACGTGCACATGTCGTTATCGGACATACCACCAAAACCGTGGCACAACCAGGGAAGCCCAGCTGGAAATGTCGCCTCCCTTTCCCCCTTTCCCTCCTGTCCGTTCCTCGTCTTTCGCGCCCCCCATCCGCTCCGGTTCGCACGCCCCTATTCACCGCGCTCCCCAAAACAGCTATGCTGATTGGGGTCCCGTTGCGGTAGAAGCTAGTTCATGCCAAGTGGTCAGAGCTCAGAGACATCCGCCAACATCGGGACTGGTCCGGCCAGTTTCGCCGTTCTTGGGCTCCGATATACTCTGGCTTGAGGTGGTCGCACGAGACTTCCTCCAGATTTGGGGCTCAGGGATGCCGCGCGCGAAGTTGTTTGCCAAGTTTCGCTTGAGTCATCATCGCAACTCTGTGCTCAGAGGTGGCCTGGCCGGAGGTATTCCTGGCAGTGTCACCCGAGAAATCATCACAACTCTGGGTTCGGAGATGCCGCGCGAGAGCTGGTCTGGCCAGTTCCGCCTGAGACATCCTCGCAACACTGCGCGTGGCCACGTCCCTGATTGGGAACGGTACTCTCGCCTCCACGCCAGCCACATCCTTTATTGGGTACGTATGGTGTTGCCGCTCAAGTGCCAGCCACATCCGTGATTGGGAATGGTGCTCTCGCCCGAGCTCTGGCTACATCCCCGTCCGGGATTGGTGATGTCGCCTGCGCGCTGGCCGCATCCCTCATCATTAGGCGTGGTGTTCTCGCATCAGCGCCGGTCACATACCCAAGTGGGTGTTGTGCTGCCGCTCAAGCGCCAGTCACAATCACATGCTGGGACGCTTATGGTATGCATCTCGGAGGGGTTGTCCAGGCAGTCCGGGGAGCTGTTAGGGGGACGTTTTGGGATAAGATTTTTCCATCGAGCATAGTAACATCCGTATTACATCAAAAACTTGCACGAATACGTATCAACGAATCCCATGCGGGCCATACGCGCGCGCCGCCAGGCGCCCGTGTCCAAGTCTTGTCAAAAACCTAGGTATTCTAAGCTTTTCAAGACCGAGCTTTTCAGGCACATATAAAAACCAACCAACTGTTTGTCGACAATATTGCTTTTCTGCGCGCGCACTTCTTCACCACCCTCATCAGCGCCATCGCGCATCACCGCCGTTATCGTCATCCTCAATCGCCGCCATTGCCGCCATCATCAGCCAACCACCTTCATCATCGACACATGGACATCATCATCGTCATCGTCGTGACTAGCCTCGGCGCCGTCATTTGCCTTGCCGTCGTCGTCGCCATCATCGCTGAAACAATCGCTACCATCATCATCGCTGCCGCCGTTGGCGACATCATCGTGAGATTGCGCCCGCCCGAGCCACCGACCCGCTCTGATGTGCCCGCGCGCCAGCGCGGCTTTACAGACGCACTGGCAAGTTCCCAGCGGCCAGCGCCATCGCAGCCCCAACAGATGCGAGCGAGCTGGCGCGCGCCAGCCAGTGCCAAGCAGCCGCCGCAATCGGTGCCGCAGGGGTTGTGCCATACAGACTGCGGGTGGGAGGGTGGGACGTCGGCGCGAGCAGCGGAGTTGGCAATTCATTGTTTACGTGAGCTGCACCCCATATGCTACTCGACACGGGTTCCAGTACACTCACTGCACCACGTAGAGAGCATGTCGAGAGCGCAAGAGTGTACGGCTTGGGGCCCAAGTTGGCAAACATATAAACATGCATGTGCATATATTTATACATACAGCTACGAGTGCCGCCCCATTCCGAGCCCGTCTGCCCGCCCCGCACCACCTTCGCCACCAGACGGCCCCTTGCAGTTTGATCCGCACTTGCTTGGGCTTGGGTAGAAGCGCATGGTGCATTCAGCGATCTGCTTGCAAAACTGAGCTTGCACTAGAATCACGAGCACGACCGCCTCACCCCCGAAGCTATATTGAGACAGCAACGATGCCACCACAGTCGTTGTCAATGGTGTCACGCCAGACTAACATGTTGCACTTGCGACTGGTCGAGGATGACTAAGGATGCGCAGTGGTCAGCGTTTATGCTGCCAAGACTTCCAAGTATCTTCGCCGATTGACAGCTATGTTTCAGCTTGGCTATAGCGAGAACCCCAAAGCCGCATGCAGGACCGACGGTTTCTCACAACATGTCGGTGACGGTTTCCGTCGCTCCAGTGGGGAGCCATGCGCAGATACCTCGCACGCCATTGACCATGTGCAGCTCGCGAGTTGAACGGAACATGATGATAGATTATCTTGCCCTCGTCACGCTGAGCAGCGAGGCGATGCCATCTCACAGTTTGACGCACAGGGGTTGGCAGTTCGTTTGCGTGCAGCCCCAAGGCGCTTGAGTCCCAGATCATGGACGATCTCGAGACCAATGAGGGGGGGGACACGGCGGGCATGGAGGGGTCAGACACATCTAGCAGCGTGCGCAGGACGTGCGGAAGCCCGTATGGTCAGGGGGGCAAGCTGAGCCAGCCTATGTCTTGGCGGGGGGTTCTCGAGAAAGGCCCAGCCGACGCCGGCGTGCGCGGCGAAAGCCAGGGATGTTTTTGCCGGCAGTCCTGGTGCCGGGGAAGGGGCGACGCTTTGCAGGGATATTGTGGTTGGTCTTCTTCGGCAGAGCGACGAGGGTCCCCGCGGAGTTCTTGGGATGAGATCGTGGAAGGAGTGGTTCTGTTCACCCGCACTTGTTTTCTTGGTTCGCGCCTGTTTTTTGTTCAGGGCAGACGGGGGGGAAAACTGTCAGCCCTCCCTCAGCGGCGCTCCTGCGGCCTGCAGATGTCCGCCGCCCTGAAGGCCCGAAAGCCCACGTGTCAAGCGTGAGCTGTACCTGCTTTCGGTGCGCAATGACGCGATGGCACAGTGACCCGATGCAGCATGGCGCTTCGGCAAGACCGCCACCCCACGTACACCGATGAAAACCAGGGAGCCCCCATACAGGGTATCCAACGGAATCGTCCTGTGGGTGGCCATGCCACTCGCGACTTGTGGTGTTGCTTTGCATCTGCGTAGGATGGGCGCGTCGGAAATGTGAAATGCGAAAGTATCGGCATTAAGTGACAACTATGGATATGTGCAATAGCGCATGTAGGGCGCTCAGCACTCGCAGTTTGTCCGGGGAGTATCTCGCCCCCGTGTCGAAATTATCGGATCCCAGCATTGCACGGGTGCGTAAAAAAACAGGGGCGGACGACATCCATAAGCAAACATCGGGCACGCATCGCGTGTCCACACCGGCATATCTAGAAACGAGGCCCAGGCGAGATGCATTGATCAGGGAAGTGTAGGAGCAAGCAGTGGAACAAGGAGGGGGCGCAGCTGTCAAACCGTAGCTCGGGGTCAGCCTGAGGAGGCCCATGAAGCATTAGTAGGTGCCTTCCCGAATCTGTCGACATGGGAGCCTCTTGACAGCTTACGTCGGCAATATTGGGGCCATCTTGGAGCCGCGTTGGATGCCTTTGGGGCTCTTGGGGTCTGCATGGGATCATTGCGTGCTCTCGTGGGGCCATCTTGGAGGACATTGATCAAAGAAGGGGGGTCCTCAGTTAGCGTCGCCCCACTGGAGCCCGAAAAGTCTTCTCTTGAAGCCCTCTTGAGGCGCTCTTGTGGTCGTCGTGTGACCTTCTCAGGCCTCTCTTGGGGATGTATTAGGCCATCTTGGAGTCGTCTTGGGACATCAGATGGCCATCGGAAGCGAAAAGGCGAGAAGCAGAAACCATGTGGTTGCTGTTAGTGGAACGCAATTTGGTATCTGGGTGCATCCTTGGGAGGCTCCGTGGCCACTCGGGGCCATCTTGTGGCAGTCTTGTGTCAGATCGTGGACATGCTGGAATCTATTATCCTGACCCAACTTCGACTAGCTCATGTCATCTCGGAAATCGTCGTGGTCTCTCCGCGGCAATCTTGGGCCAAAAGCTTCCTCGGGGATGTGCCCGAGAGGCCCTAACCTTTCAATATCACTCTGGGTACCCGTGCTTTCTGTTGATTGAAGAATTGAGGTACCAGTTGGCTTCACCCCCCTGGAGCCCAAAAATGCGCATCTCAGGGTGTTCGTGGGCGCTCTTGGGGTCGTTTGGGGACCCTCTTGGGTCTCTGCTGGGGCTCTCGTGGGTCTTGCTGGAGGCACCCTGGGGCCTCAGGAGGCGATCGGACGCGAAAAGGCGAGAATTACAAAATCAGTTGGTGTCTTTTCGGTGCTGGAAGGGTGTGAGCTTCTCAGGGGTGTCTTTGGGAGGCCGTCTTGGAGTGGTATTGGGGTTTCTAGGCGCTTAGTGGCAGCCGTCTTGAGCTGTGTTGCACCGTCGTGTTCCACATTGGAGGTCGTCGTGAGCTTCCTGGGGCCCTTTGGAGCCATCTTGAGCGCTCCAATTGCTCGCGAACCCCCCGTCCAGACCCAGGGGGAGGGGGGGAGGGGGATGAGTCAAGCTGCCCACGCGTCGCAAGCCGTCTCGGTCACTCCCACCCGCCCTCCCAACACATAGGTAGCACCCGAGTCTCAGCGTACTCAGCGGTCACCATCAGATGGACAGTCATTGAGAACCGATACAGACGCCAAGTGTGCGGCGATGGCGAAGTGCGCCACGCGCACCAGGTGCGCCAGGCGCCCTGAGGGGCCCAAGCATGCCAGGCGCGCCTGCTGCACCAGATGCGCCACGCGCTCCACATGTGATGAGTGTGCCCCACTTGTGACAGCACACATCGGGAAACATGTCCGCCCCCCCCATCCTTGTTCTTTATTATTATATACCCCCACCTACCTCGTATTCCGGCCGACAGCAACCCAATCCGGGACCTCCCATCCGGACTGTAAAAAAACAATACAAAGTGGCCGTTTTTCTTCTCAACATCGTCTTTCTTGTCGTCGACGATGCGAAAAGGGTGGCAGGAATGGGACGCGGCGCACATCGCGCGCGGCAGTCAATCTGGGCCCGCCCACCCTGATTGTAAAAAAATCAATACAAAGTCTTCATTTTTCCTCTCACCATAGCCTGCCTCGTCGCCGACGGTGCGAAATATGTGGCAGGAATGGGACGCGGCGCACATCCCGCGCGGACGTCCATGCGGGCCGGGGGCCCTCCCATCCTGACTGGTGCCTACTAGTACCATTGGTACGACTATTATTATTACTACTACTACTACTACTACTACTACTACCACTACTACTATCACTTCTACTACTACTACTACTACTACTACTACTACTACTACTACTACTACTACTACTACTACTACTACTACTACTACTACCTACTACTACTACTACTACTACTACTACTACTACTATACTTACTACTACTACTACTACTACTACTACTACTACTACTACTACTACTACTACTACTACTACTACTACTACTACTACTACTACGACTAATAATAATACTAGTATTACTACTACTACTACTGCTACTACTTGTTCTGCAAATTCTACTACCAATGGCATTACTACTAGTCTAGCAGTCGTACAAGTATTACTAGCACTTCTATTTCCATAGTGATACTACTCTGTACTACTACTCGTACGAGTACTTGTACTACATGTAGTACTTCTGCTTATACCACTCGTAGTATTACTCATACTTCTAGTACTACTACCTATTCGTATTCCCACTCTATTACTACTACTACTACTACTACTACTACTACTACTACTACTACTACTACTACTACTGCTACTACTACTACTACTACTACTACTACTACTACTACTACTACTACTACTACTACTACTACCACTACCACTACCACTACCACTACCACTACCACTACCGGTACTACTACTACAACTCCTGCGTTGGGTACTCGTTTTGAATAGAGCACTGCGGTCTCCGTTCTCCTTCTCCCGCCCCCCCCCTCTCTTCCCTCCTCCTCTCCTCTCTTGCTTGCCTTCTCCTCCTCTCTTCGTTCCTCCTCTTCTCTTCTCTTGCCTTTCACGTCATCCCTGGCGGGCTGCGATCTGCGGAACTGTCACCACTTTCGAGGGCTGCTGGTGGGTCCAGCGGAGTGAGGCACCACGGGGACTCAGATTAGACCTCGCCATCCCTGGGGGGGGGCTGCGATCTGTGAAACTGTCGCCACTTTCGAGGGCTGCTGGTGGGTCCAGCGGAGTGAGGCACCACGGGGACTCAGATTAGACCTCGCCATCTCTGGGGGGGGGCTGCGATCTGTGAAACTGTCACCACTTTCGAGGGCTGCTGGTGGGTCCAGCGGAGTGAGGCACCACGGGGACTCAGATTAGACCTCGCCATCTCTGGGGGGCTGCGATCTGTGAAACTGTCGCCACTTTCGAGGGCTGCTGGTGGGTCCAGCGGAGTGAGGCACCACGGGGACTCAGATTAGACCTCGCCATCTCTGGGGGGGGCTGCGATCTGTGAAACTGTCACCACTTTCGAGGGCTGCTGGTGGGTCCAGCGGAGTGAGGCACCACGGGGACTCAGATTAGACCTCGCCATCTCTGGGGGGCTGCGATCTGTGAAACTGTCGCCACTTTCGAGGGCTGCTGGTGGGTCCAGCGGAGTGAGGCACCACGGGGACTCAGATTAGACCTCGCCATCTCTGGGGGGCTGCGATCTGTGAAACTGTCGCCACTTTCGAGGGTTGCTGGTGGGTCCAGCGGAGTGAGGCACCACGGGGACTCAGATTAGACCTCGCCATCCCTGTGCGAAACTGTCGCCACTTTCGAGGCTGCTGGTGGGTCCAGCGGAGTGAGGCACCACGGGGACTCAGATTAGACCTCGCCACCCCTGGGCGGCTGCGATCTGTGAAACTGTCGCCACTTTCGAGGGCTGCTGGTGGGTGGCCAGCGGAGTGAGGCACCACGGGGACTCAGATTCTGACCACGAGCAATGCTCGCGTGCCCTTGCTCTGCGGTTCGTGCCACGTGGCGCTGCGACTCGAGCTGGCGGTCGTCCTTCGGACCCGCAGAAACATCTGCTGAGCTCGATGAGCTAGGGGAACTACAGGAAAGAAGTGCAGGAAACGGAGGCCGGTCATGCACTCGCCGATACCTCGTTGCTCTGTCATCGTCTTTGCTGTTGCATGATCCTTATCTGGCCTGCCGGCGCCGCGGCTCGAGCTGGCGGTCGCCCTTCGGGCCCGCGGGAACATCTTCTGAGACAAGTGGACGCCGCCGCCTTACTTGCAGGCAGCGCATTGCATTCGCGGACAGCAGCATGGCAGACCGCAGTGAGATCCTCAGTCGCGTGGTGTTGCCAAGCCTGGTGGAGACGCGCGTGATCGACCTGAAGTCCCAATCGCGCGTGCACTGTACCTGCGTGGCGTTCAGGCACGCGCGTGATGCTGCTCGCTCCGCGTTCAACCAGTACGTCGCCAGTGCAACTTTGGACGATGGACAACCGATTGATGATACGCGACCCCGGCCTTGAGTTTCTTTCCCGCGGGCCGCCCGCAGACCTGGCGGCGCGCCTGCGAGCGCTCAGCTCCCGCGCTGAAATGTGCGGGAAGGAGGCGGGGAAGCTGGCGGGCGAGCTACGCCTCGCTCGTTCCTTGCACTCTAAACAAGTTTTATCATGTGGAACTCTGCGACGACATGGAGCAGGCAGCGCTGCGGGTTTAGCTCGCACTTGAAAAACGCGGCAGTCTTCTGTCTCCTCCCGCCACTTTCATCGTCGTCCTATTCCTCGCCTCACCTTCTCCATGCATGCTGCTGCTTCCGCGATGGCCTTTCGCCCCCCCCGCCCTCCATCCCATCCCTCTCCTACCCCTCGTTCCCGTACCCGTTTTTCTTCGATCCTGGGGCCTCAAGCCTCGTTCTTTCGATCGTCGTCCTGTGAATCGTGCAACGCATGCGCATCCCATGTAGCTTGCACAGCAAATCGCCGCGTCTACACTGTCGTTGTTCCTGCTAATGTTGGCATACTCCTATTGCCATTTGATGCGCGTGGGTTGGGTACGTCGCAGGGTAATTATTATTTCTTCTACTACTACTACTACTACTACTACTACTACTACTACTACTACTACTACTACTACTACTACTACTACTACTACTACTACTACGACTACTACTACTACTACTACTACTACTACTACTACTACTACTACTACTACTACTACTACTACTACTACTACTACTACTACTACTACTACTACTACTACTACTACTACTACTACTACTACTACTACTACTACTACTACTACTACTACTACTACTACTACTACTACTACTACTACTACTACTACTACTACGACTACTACGACTACTACGATTAGTATTACTACTACTACTACTACTACTACTACTACTACTACTACTACTACTACTACTACTACTACTACTACTACTACTACTACTATACTATTAATCGCTTCGCTCATTCCGCCGGCCCATATTGTCGCACCGTTGTGGGCTAGCCGAGTTTTGGGGCCTCTTGGGGGCCGTTTTGGGGCCTCTTGGGGCCTCTTTTGGGCCTCTTGGGCGCCTCTTGGGGCGTCTTGGGGGCCTCTTGGGGGCCTCTTGGGGCCTTTTTGGGGCCTCCTGGGCGCCTTCTGGGGCGGAGGGCTAGATTTTTCAGTTCTCGGTTCCCCTCTTCAGCCCCCCTTGGGCCCGTCTTGGGGCCTCTTGGTCCGTCTTGGGCGGCACTTGGGCCGTCTTGGGGGCCCTCCTGGGCCGTTCCGGGGCCGTCTTGGGAGCCTCGTGGGCCGTCTTGGAGCGGTCTTGGGGGCCTCCTGGGCCGTCTTGGAGCGTCCGGAAGCCGAAAAAGCCGCCAGAACGCGAAAAACATCGAAAAAAACAATGAAAATCAACGATTTTGACCTCTTGGGGCCCTCTTCGGAGGCCTCTTGGAAGGCCCTTGGGGCGTCTTGGAGGCCTCTTGGGCTGTCTTGGGGCCCTGTTGGGCGTCTTCGGGCGATCTTTGGCCGTCTCGGGGCCCTCTTGGACCGTCTTGGAGGCTTCTTGGGGACCTCTTGGCCCGTTCTGGGGCCCTGTAACAGAACTCCGGCATCTCTGGCCCGACCTTGCCGGGGACTTGCCGGGACCTTGTCGGGGTACTTTTCGTCCGGGGACCCCCAGGGGCCGCCCCGCGCGCGCGAACTAGAAATACTGTTAACCAGGCACCGGAGATCTTAGCACGCCCTGGCCCGTTGGGCCGGCGAATTACTACTACGACTACTACTACTACTACTACTACTACTACTACTACTACTACTACTACTACTACTACTACTACTACTACTACTGCTACTGCTACGACTACGACTACGACTACGACTACGACTACTACGACTACTACTACTACTACTACTACTACTACTACTACTACTACTACTACTACTACTACTACTACTACTACTACTACTACTACTACTACTACTACTACTACGACTACTACTACTACTACTACTACTACTACTACTACTACTACTACTACTACTACTACTACTACTACTACTACTATTACGACGACGACTACGACTACGACTACGACTACGACTACGACTGCTACTACCACTACTACTAGTACTACTACTACTACTACTACTACTACTACTACTACTACTACTACTACTACTACTACTACTACTGCTGCTGCTGCTGCTGCTGCTGCTGCTGCTGCTGCTGCTGGTACAGCTCCTACTACTACTACTACTACTACTACTACTACTACTACTACTACTACTACCACTACGCGCCAGCACCCAGTTGCGCCAGCAGTGTTTCTTATGTTGTGGGAGGGCGGAACGTGTCCGCTGTTCCTCTCAACATGGCCAGTCTTGTCGTCGACGATGCGAAATGCTTGGCGGGAATGGGACGCGGCGCACATCCCGCGCGGACGTCAATGCGATGTCCTGGGGTATCCTCCACTCGCACTTAATTAAATGCCCGCGCAGCCCCAGTTGTGCCATCACTGTTTCTTATGTTGTGGGAGGGCGGGTGGGAATGGGCATGCCATGCTTGACTCGCTCGAGCTGGCTAGCTTGACCCCCACCCCCACCCCCCACCCCACCCCACCATCCCTATCAAAACCAATGCAGGATGGCGGCAGGGTGGCCATCGTGATGCACTTCATGTGCACCCGCAGTGCCACTTTCGCTCGAGCTGGCTAGCTTGACCCCCACCCCCACCCCCCACCCCACCCCACCATCCCTATCAAAACCAATGCAGGATGGCGGCAGGGTGGCCATCGTGATGCACTTCATGTGCACCCGCAGTCACTTTGCATTAGTTCGTTTGACAGGGATGGTGTGCCCGCGCACGCCAGACAGTACAAGGGCACCCCCACCACCCATGTCATAAACAGTTCGAAGTCATCGCGGAGCGCCCGCACTTGCTCCAAGATGTTGCTGCAAACTGTATGGTGCAGTAGTGTCTTCGACAGGGTGGTTGTTGGGTGCTGGTACAGTGGCTTGGCTATCGCGCGTCGGATGGGGGAGGGGGTGGTTATTAATCAGGGGCAGGTACGAATCCCTCCCCGAAGGACGTTGCTCCGCCTCCTCCTCCCTCCTCCTCCTCCTCCTCCTCTTCCTCCTCCTCCTCCTCCTCCTCCTCCTCTTCCTCCTCCTCCTCTTTGCTCCTCCTCCTCCTGCTCTTTGCTCCTCCTCCTCCTCCTCCTCTTTGCTCCTCCTCCTCCCCCTCCTCCTCCTCCTCCTGTGAAGAAGGGGTTGGAATAGGAAACACGCCAGAGTACCTCAGCCCAGAGGGCTGGTACGAATTATGACAGGCACCGCCTGCAGTGTTGCATTACTGCCCCCACGACACTTCGTGCGCTTCATTGATTCATTTGTCAAAACGTATACATCACGCACGCGGCTGGGAAAAATTGGTCTGAGAATGGATGGGCACTCGCCGGGTATGCAAAGCAGCTGCTCAATCACCTTGTGCCCCATGTCAAGCATCAGCTTCTTATTACACGCATGAACATCTGGGGATGCCGGGAGGACGTGTTCGTGAAGCTCGTAGAAGAAAGCCGACGAGAACGGCAGAGGAGGATTGACGGAGGGGACGATGCGGCGAAGCGCCCCGCATTTTTCTTGCTTTCATTGTCCCCATTCACCTAAAGTGGGTTGCCCCTAAGTCTTGTCCTGCTGGGCCACGTATCCAGAACTCGATCTGAGCTCGTTGCAAGATGGGTGACATGGTTGTCGCACGTATGTCCGGACAACGCGTGCTCATCAATGCTGAAAGGGGTCACGGTAGCCAAAGATATTTGCGAGGTACGGGCATCCTACGGAGTGTTTATCCGGTTGCTTGCGGCAAGTTCCGCCACCGTGCCAGACCAGCATTCCGTGCGGCGACCGTTCAGGGGCAAACGGGAGGCCGTCACGTGTGACCCTTCGCGTCTCCAGGCCTGGGAGAAGTTCGGTGATGAGGATGATGAGGATGATGGGGATGGTGATGAGGAGGAGGAGGAGGAGGACGAGGACGAGGACGAGGGCGATGACGATGGCGATGACGACTACGATGGTGAGGCTGATGCTGATGCTGATGAGGATGACGGTGACGATAATGATAATGATAATGCTGATGAGAATGATGATGTTGATGATGATGATGATGATGATGATGATGATGATGATGATGATGATGATGATGTTGATGGTGATGGTGATGGTGATGGTGATGGTGATGGTGATGATGCTGCTGATGATGATGATGCTGATGATGGTGATGATGATGGTGGTGATGATGATGATGATGATGATGATTATGATGATGATGATGATGATGATGATGATGATGATGATGATGATGATGATGATGATGATGATGATGATGATGATGATGATGATGATGATGATGATGATGATGATGATGATGATGATGATGATGATGATGATGATGATGATGATGATGATGATGATGATGTGGTGGTGGTGGTGGTGGTGGTGGTGAAGACGAGGAGGAGGAGGAGGAGGAGGAGGAGGAGGAGAAGGAGGATGAGCAAGAGGCCGTCACGTGTAACACCTTTGGTCTTCACTATTTGAGGAGCTGTCATGGAACTGGTTTGGACCGTCTTGGGGCTGTCCTGGCATATTGTGAGGCAGTCTTGAGGTCCTCGTGGGCCGTCCTGGGGCCCTCTTACGCCATCTTGGGGCTCTCTTGGGCCGCCGTCTTGGGCCGTCGAAAAGCTTTCTGATGCTGCATTGGGTCCAACGGGAGGCCTTCATGGGCTGTCTTGGGACCGTCTTGGATGTTTCTTGGACCATCGTGGCCTGCATGGGCCGTCTTGGAGGCTCGGGACGCGGACACATCCTTTTTTTTCTTCGAAGGATCGTGGCCCTGGGAGCGCGGATCCATTGTTTATGTGTACGAGGGATCGTGGCCTCGGGATTGGAAGGGATGCACCCAGCAAGATGCTAGTGGAGGGGGTCCCTGAGAAGGACACAGAAACCCTACCAGACAGCACTGGACATTCTACCACCACTCAACGTGCCAGGGTGCACCGTGGCGGGTTTGAGCGCGATAGAGAGAGAGGGTCCTGCGTTTCTGGTAAGGCCTCATATTTTGGCCCTGCGCGATGTTAGTTATTCATGTGGTTCCCTTGGATATCAAAACGGGTTCTTCTTGGCGTTCCAATGGGGTGAGCCTCTGGCTGTCCCCATGGATACTCGAAGACGCCCAGTGCAAGACAACGCCGCCAAAAGCCTTTCTGGGAACGCCTGTGTGGCCGAACGTTGGGCTTGAAATTGGCCAAGACGTTGGACTATGTGTTCTCACAGCCGTTGTGGAAGCCATTAAGATAACATGCGCTGGGGAAGAAGGTGAGGAGGTGGGAGCGAAGCGGATGGGAGGAAGGAAAACTAGGACGAAGAGGAGGAGGTCTTTCAGACGCCTTTTGTGGGCCTCTTGCGACCATCGGGGGCCGTCTGACATTGGAGCTTACACTCCTGGTCGGAATTTACGCCACACGACTGATAGCCATAGAATGGGAGCTTGGGCCCAAAGGCTGCAGCGCCATTCCCTGTGTCCATAACAAAACATCGAGAGGCAGTAACAAGAGGAGAGTGAGACGGCATCGAAAGCAGGAACACCCTTAGCAATTCAGGACCACGCAGAACCGCGCGTGCCCGCGTCTTTCACCGTGTTGATTCGAGCCCGCGTGGTCAGGGGAAGCGCCGCAGAAGGACGACGAGCAGCAGGAAGAGAACGAGAGACGGTGGAGGAGCAGGAAGACGGACGACGACGACGACGACGACGACGACGACGACGACGACGACGACGACGACGACGAGGCGGACTGGCCCCTGGCCACCGCTGGAAGGCGAAGCTCAAGCTCTCGGCGACCATCACGGCCGCCACTATTGGCCTCCTTCCCCCTCCCACGGTCGCGATCACGCCCGCCGCGCCCATCGGCTTCGGCGGCCCCCCAGGCGCCCCTGCCCAAGGCGCCGGGGGCGGGAGGCTGGGAGCGCAGCGGCCGGCTTTGAGTCGCCAGGGGTGTGGCGGAAGAGGAGGAGAAGGAGGGGGAGAGCGAAAGAGCGGGGGAGGAGGAGGAGGAGGAGGAGGAGGAGGAGGAGGAGGAGGAGGAGGAGGTGGAGGAGGAGCAGGAGGAGGAGCAGGAGGATTACGATTTGTGCTAAGATCATCAGAGTCTGTGCAACGTAGAAATGAGTAGGAGGATCCATGCCTCCCAAATGGGGCCAGAGTAAATTGGGCCAAGGATCGTGCCGCATCGCCGATGCATCGGCCATGCGGCTCGACGTGTAGCCTGATTTGTTCCACGTCGACGTCGCCGATTCATCGGCGATGTATCAGCGATGCGACGGGATCCTTCGAGTCCATCCACTCGGACCCCACTTGGGAGGCCCCCAGAGGAGCGGAGAGGACGGAAGGGGAGGTGGAATTCAAATGCAATCACAGGAGGGCATGCGGGGATCGGACCCCCAACGACTTCTAGGATCCCACAGCGTCCTCCAGGGACCCGCATAGCTCTCCAGGGATCTCCGAGGAAATCGCTTCTTTCCTAAGTATCCTCTTCCTCCTGTTCCTCCCTCTCCTCCTCACACCGTGGCCCGCCTGCCGGTCAGGCTTGAGCCGCGGGTGCGCAGAAGTCATGGCGCACGGCCATCCTTTTTTGGCGCATGGGTCCTTGTGTTCGGTGTGCGCGCTGTGGCCGCTGCGCCCAGACGAGGTTGGCGGGCCTTCAGCGCGCATGCCCAGGCCATGTGTTGCAGGGCTGGCATACAGCGAATCTGCGAGCTGGCCGCGCGCCGAAGGCACGTCGCAGCGACCCGCCCGTTGGGGCCGCCACGCCAAGCACTCTGCGGGAGCGGGAGGCGCGGGGCATTGGGGACGGCGGAGCGGAGGCGGGGGCGCCCGCTCGGCAGGAGCGTGGCGGGGTCGCCTGCTCCCGGGAAAGGCCAGGCAGCTCGCACAGCGACGCCCTGCCGCCTCATCAGTGGCGCGCCTCCTCCTCCTCCTCCTCCTCCTCCTCCTCCTCCTCCTCCTCCTCCTCCTCCTCCTCCTCCTCCTCCTCCTCCTCCTCCTCCTCCTCCTCTTCCTCTGTAGCTATTGTGGCTCAAGCCGTTTTTGGCTCAAGGCTCGGCAAGGACGTATGTCTGCTGGGGACATGCTGCTGGATCAAGGTATGTCGGCGCCGATGTCTTCGATTATTATTGTGAAGGCCTGGGACCCCCGCTGGCACCCCCCCCACAGACGCGCTGGGACCCCGGCGGGCGGCGGCATCCTGACCCGTCACCACCCCCCGACCCAGCGCACTTTGTCTCCACTGAGCGCCGTGAACAGATGCTTCAAACCCAAACTGCCCAGAGACCACACGACTTCCCTAACTCGGCCACTTGGATCGGAGGGGGCGACCTCTGGCAGTTGACAAACGGCAGGTGCACCGAAGACATTCCGCGCGCGCGCTTTCCTGGGTGGGTGTGGCAATGCCACAGCGACCGCCATGGCTTCCTTGAGGAGGTTGTTATCTACAGAGTCGACTGGGCCTGCATACCTGAATATTTCCCGTCAGTGCGCGACCCAATAGGCTTCATTCTGTGAGGTCCAGGGCACCAACGACCGCGCCAAAAAAATGTTTGGCAAAAGAGCTTACAGGAAGAGCGTTCCTGACTGATCCGCAACGGGTGGTGCATTACATTAAGGATTGCTACGGCGTCGCCATCGTTTCCGCGACCATCGTCGCCACGGCATGCCATCGCCGGCATCACCATCATCACGTCATCAATCACCATCACGATTTTCGCCTCCGTTTTCAGAAAACAAGCACCATCATCATCATCACATCATCATCATCATCATCATCATCATCATCATCATCATCATCATCATCATCATCATCATCATCATCATCATCATCATCATCATCATCATCATCATCATCATCATCATCATCATCCATCATCCATCATCCATCATCATCATCATCATCATCATCATCATCATCATCATCATCATCATCATCATCATCATCATCATCATCATCATCATCATCATCATCATCATCATCATCATCATCATCATCATCATCATCATCATCATCATCATCATCATCGTGATCATCATCATAACCACCATCATCGTCATCACTGTCATATTTACTAATGGGGAGGTCCTGTTTGCTTAATGCGTGATCATCGTCATCATTGTCCGTGCGGTGCTCGAGCTCAATGCTCGAGCACCGCACGGATTTTGCCACGTTTCACGACGATTGCTTCGTGGCGAAGATTGTCACGGGAATGCGCGCGCCTCTGGCGGCGGCTCTACGGCGCGCGGCCTGTGCGCACGACCGCCGCCAATCGCAGCGAGAGGGATGAAGAGAAGCTTGGCCTCGGCTGGGCCGCTTCGCCGAGCCACGAGCGGAGCTCTGTCCGCGGCCAGCGTCGCAGCTGCACAGAGACGGGCGCGCCAGAAGGCGGAGCCCGCCAATGCCGGCGCCGGGACGTCGCAGAGCGCAGCGTGGAGCGATGCCATGGCGAAGCTCGACGAGAATACCGCCCGCAGCATTCCTGGCGCCACGCGGGTCCCGAGCAGGGCTGGGCAGCGCGTTCATGAATGCGGCTGGCGTGCGGTTGGCGCCCGACCGCGGCGCCCGAGCCGCGCCTCTAGCGGGCAGTTGCACTACTGCACGGTGGCGGGACTCGACCTCTCTGCAAGGCGGCCCGCTGTGAGTTGCCGGGCGGTGGCAGGGCGGCACCGGTGCGCGAGCGAGGACCTGGCGGTGGTCGGCGACCTGGCTGTTCTTCACGGCGTCGACAAGCTGGCTGCCGACGAAGACTTAGCGGTGTCATCTTTATATGTCGTGTCGTAGCCTTGGGCGTCGACGTCACCACGCAGACGACGCTCGCCAAAGCGGGGTTAACCCCCGCCGCACACCGCCCAGCGAGTGCGTCCGACACGAGAAGGCTCTGGCGAAGCAGGCGAAACAGACCGCCTTCTTTGTTAAGCCGCGCCTGCCGGGTCTATGTCCTCATGGTCACGCGGCTCTTCGCCGCTTGTCCCACGCGGAAGGGTCCAAGATCGAGGTCTCTGGCGGGGAGTCATCTGGTGCCTCCGGCGCGGCCGCCGCTGGAGAGCCTTCGGGACGTCGTGGCTTGGGCGTGCTCTGCACGCAGAGTGCTGCACGAACTAGGGCCCAAAGTGCGCGCCGCTGACGGATCGTTTCAGCGCGCGGGATCTGCAAAAGCAAACAGGATTCCCAACAAGCAAACAGGACCACCCCAAAAGTAAACGGGACCACCCCAAGAAGTGAACAGGACCTCCCACAATGTGGTCAGGGCCTCCCCAAAAGTACTCAGGACCTCCCAAAAAGTAAACAAGACCTCCCAAAAAGTAAACAGGACCACCCCAAAAGTAAACAGGACCACCCAAAAAGCAAGCAGGACCACCCAAAAAGTAAAAAGGACCTCCCCAAAAGTGAACAGGACCACCCCAAGTGTAAACAGGACCACCCCAAGAAGTCAACAGGACCTCCCAGACAGCAACCAGGACCACCGAACAAGTAAACAGGACCATCCCAAAAGTAAAAAAGTAAACACGACCTCCAGAAAAGTAAGCTGAACCTACGCAAAATTCAACTGAACCCCCGAAAAAGTAAGCAGGACCATTCCAAAAATGGAACAGGACCTCCAACCGTACCTTCCAACAAGTAAACAGGACCACCCAATAAGTGAACAGGACCACCCCAGAAGTAAACAGGACCACCACAAAAGTAAGCACGACCACCCCAACAAGAAACAGGACCTCCCCAAAAGTAAACGGGACCACCCCAAGAAGTAAACAGGATTTCCCACAAAGTAAACAGGATTTCCAGGAGAAAGTAGACAGGACCAACCCAAAAGTAAACAGGACCACTCCGAAAAGTTAGCATGACCCCCTAAAGAGTAAATTGGATTCCCAACCAGTAGACAGGACCACGCCAAAAGTAAACAGGATCTCCGAAACAGCAAGCAGGACCTCCGAAACAGTAAACAGAACCCCCCAAAAGTAGACAGGACTACCCCAAAAGTGAACAGGACCTCCCAATGACTAAGCAGGACCACCCCGAAAAGCAAACGCGCCTTCCAAAAAAATACAGACCCCCTCCAACAAAAAAGTAAGCAGGACGACCCCCAAAGTAGACAGGACCACCCCGAAGAGTAAACGGGACCGTCCCGAAAAGTAGACAGGACCACCGAGAAAGCAGGCAGGACCTCCCAAGAAGTAGACAGGAGACCCAGGAGCAGCCGGGCCAGCGGCGGGGGGGCGCCCGCGCCCACCGCTTCGAGGGCCTGTCGCCCTCGGCCGCCCCTCCCGGCCAGGGCTCCCTCGGCCAGCCCACGGTCGGACACCTTGATGAGGCCACAGCGCAAGCGTTGCTCGGGGGGGGGGGGATCTGCCGCGGTCGATCGCCCAGGGGGGTTCGACTGCCGCCCCTGCGCGGATCGCTCCCGCCTGAGCTCCCCGAAAGGGGGAGCTTAGGCGGGGGCTTTTCCCGTGGGCGCCCCCGCTCGCCCAGGAGGGGGTGGTGGGGGGGGACCCGGATCGCCCAGGCCCGCCTGTGGAGCATGGCAGAGGCCGTGCGCTCGCCCTTCTGCCCGCCGTGGTCTGACGCAAGGCGCGCCCAGGACGCCCGACCACGCCTTGGCAGGGCAACCCGGAGCGACCCCGCTTCCAGACGCACGGCCCCGATCGATGCAGGAATACGGCCGCGCCTCGGTTCGGCGCTCAAGGAACAGCGCCTCTGCGATCGTCAGCCGGCCGACGACGGCCTGCTCACCACGAGACGGACAGGCTGTCGTGGGACACTAGCTGAGAGAGCTCAAGGACGAGGGCCTATGCGATCGTCAGCCGGCCGACGACGGCCTGCTCGCCACGAGACGGGCAGGCTGTCGTGGAACACCAGCTGAGAGAGCTCGCTGACGGCAAGCCCGGTGACGAGGTTGAGTTCGTGCTGGCTCGTCACAGAACTACCGCGTCGAATGGTCCTTGCGGGACCTCGATTTTCCGGGGCAGCTCCGTTTTAATGGTGTCGACGCGGTCTCCCCAGGTGGACCACATCGGAGAGCTGGCCATCATGTGGCCCTGCAGCCCAGGTGGCCCACTTCCAGGAGCGTCGGCCGGGACCAACCCGACCAACGTGGCCCTGGCTTACTGGGACACCAAGAAGAGGGGCCCCCTTCACCAGGACGACCAAGCGATCCCTCTGCCCACGGTGGGCGGCGCCCCCTGGCACCGACTAGACAAGCCCCCGAAGCATGCGCAGTACAACCGGGCCCGGGCGGCCATCAACGACCTCTTCTGCACCGGGGCTGAAAAGGGGGCCCTGCGGAGCACCGGCCTCCCGCTCTGGCCCTACTTTTTGGTTTTCCGGACCGAACCACTCGAGGGAAAGCTGCACGCTTGTTGCAGCTACAAGCAGGCCGTTGCAGCCAAGATGCTTCGCGCTCAGACTGCGACAACGGAAGGGGTGCTGCGCAAGCAATGCATCGCAGGTATCAGGGATCCTGCAGAGCCAGGGGTGTATTGACCCGGGTCAGCTTGCAGGATCCTGCAGGATCATGCGCGATCTTGCAAAGCCTTACTGAGCCGTGTCTGGATTGACCTGGGTCAGTAGATCCCGACAACCGTGCCGTTTCGACCTCATGCCCCATGATAGAAATACGGGAAAATAATCGTTGCGCGTTTCAGTGGATGCGAGAAGCGTGGAGATGCGGAGACCGCCGGCTGAGATCGGTTGCAGCTCGGTGCCGACGGCATCTACATGTTTGCTGGGGGTGGGATTCGACCTGATCGAACAGGGAGGCGGTGTTGTGAAGCACGTAATTCGGGAGTACACTGGGGAGGCCCTTGCGATGGCGACGGTGGCGATCGGGGTCGAGCACGTGACAAGTGTTTGATGAGGTTCATGAGATCAGCCCGGCTGTCTTCGCAGATCCAGGTGTGCACGCCGAGGCGTGCTTCGACGGGGGCAGGAGGGAGCAGGGTGTGGGCGCTGGATGGGCTTGTTTCGGTGACTGGAGCGAGGCGGAGGGCACGCAGTGTCCCGCTGGGTGTGAGAGTGGCAGCACCGACGGCAGAAATCACTGCAGCTTGCAATCCTTGTGAGGCATTGGCCGGAGTGAGCTTTCAGCATGAGCACAAAGATCGCAGTGCAGAGTTTAGTCCAGAGCGTGATCTTCGGCCTCGTGAGTGCCACCACCGCGCGGCATCGAAACGCAGTCGTCTCGATCGTTCAGTGTAGCACAATCGGCCGATGTTCTGTTCTTGTTCGGGTGGGTAAGATCCTACCTACTCGCCCGCCCAGAACCCAGAACCCTCCTTCTAGTCCGTCTTTCCCTCCCCCTCCCTCCTCCCTCCAGAGGTCGGGAGGTTGCCTGGCTGCATGGGAGGAGGGAGGGAGAGAAGAGGCGAGGGGGGAAGGGACAAGCTGCGGCCTGCCTCGCAGGCTGGGCCCTCGCTGGTCGTAGGGTGGCCGCCGTTCGGCCGTGGTGGGACGACTTGCGGGAAGCGTTGGCGTCTTCTGCCTGCTACTCGGGGCTCGTAGCAGCAGAGTTAAGTCGGGCCTGTCCCTCTACAGGAGGAGCGTTCAAGAATAGTCAAAAATAAGATGGGGACGATGTTTCGACTATTGCTGGAATATGTTTGAGTATTGCCTGACCATTTAGAATGTTTCATCCAAGTGGCGCCTGTAGGAGGACCTGCCCGACCTGACAGTAGAGTTTCACAACCCCGAACGCCGCGCCGCCCTCTGCATGCAGGCAGCCCTGCCGCTCGCGCGGGGTAAGCTTCCTGGCCGTCGGCGTGGCCGAGTGGCCGCTCTGGCGGTCCGCACGGCCACGTTCGGCAGGGCTGGTCCCAAGAACGCGCTGGCTCCCCCGGGCCTGCTCAGACCAGGGAGGGCGGGCTCTGCCCTCACAGCCTGCCCTCATCGGTCGGGGCGGCCGCGTCGGGAGAGCGGACGGCGACGGCCCAGAAGAGCGCGCCACCGCGCCACTTGCGCGGGCGATTGGATCTACTCCTCCTCCTCCCCCGCCTCCCCTTTCTCCTCCCCCTCCTCCTCCTCCTCCTCCTCCTCCTCCTCCTCCTCCCCCTCCTCCTCCTCCTCCTCCTCCTCCTCCTCCTCCTCCTCCTCCTCCTCCCCCGCCTCCTCCTCCTCCTCCTCCTCCTCCTCCTCCTCCTCCTCCTCCTCCTCCTCCTCCTCCTCCTCCTCCTCCTCCTCCTCCTCCTCCTCCTCCTCCTGGGGGAGAGGATGGTCGGGCACCCACTGGCGCGCTCGTTCGCTCGCCCGCTCTGCTTCAAGCAGCGTGAGGACTGGAAGGAGCGGCAGCGGCGGGGAGAAAAGGCAGAGAAAGGAGGATCGGAGGACGGAGACCTCAAGGCAAGCAGGGGGGATGGCGAGGAGGAGCAAGAAGAGGCGAGGAGGAGGAGGGAGGAGGAGGAGGAGGAGGAGGAGGAGGAGGAGGAAGGAGGAGGAGGAGGAGGAGGAGGAGGAGGAGGAGGAGGAGGAGGAGGAGGAGGAGGAGGAGGGAGGAGGAGGAGGAGGAGGAGGAGGAGGAGGAGGAGGAGGAGGAGGAGGAGGAGGGAGGAGGAGGAGGAGGAGGAGGAGGAGGAGGGGGAGGAGGAGGAGGAGGGAGGAGGAGGAGGAGGAGGAGGAGGAGGAGGACAACGCCGACGACGACGGCAACAACCACCACCACCACCACGACGACCACGACCACGACGACGACGACCACGACGACCACGACGGCCGCAACGACGACGACCACGACCATGACCACGACCGCCACGACCACGACGACCACGACGCCCACGACGCCCACGACGACCACGACCACGGCGACGGCGACGGCGACGGTGACGACGACTGGGCATAGCGGCAACCGTGGCAATGGCAGGAGCAGAAGCATCGGCGGCACCTCCCTCGGGGGACGGGAGAGCAGGGCCCCGGCCAGGCGCCGCGCAGCAGTTCCAGAGCCCCGCGATGCTGCCCGGCGGCCCTCCCATGCCCAACGCGGCCATGGCCTCAGCGCCCGGCAGTGCCAAGCAGAGGGGGGTCTGGCAGAGGAGGGGGCAGAGGGAGAGGAAAGGGGAAGGGGATGGCTCTTCGCACCGCTGTATGTTTATCGTTTGGCCCAGACCTTGGCTTGGGCGGGACGTCGCACAGCAGTACGGCAGCCAGCAGAGGGTAACGAGATCCCAGATTGCTACGAAGGCTGGTGGAGGCAAAGGGCACCTTTCCTCATGGTGCTCTTCAGCACGCTCCCACGTACGAGGTGAATACCAAAAGCGAATCCCATGGATGCCTCGGACATCTCAGGCGGGATCGAGTCGCGCTCCAAAGTTGGCTCCGACCTCGCAACACTCCTGTGCTAGATCATTGAGCTGTCCACCTCGCCAGAGCCCCTTGAAGGGCTCGCGCGGCCTCAAACTGCTTCTCCGACGGACGAACCTCTGTGCCCAAGCTGCCCTCTCCCCACTCCCCTTCCGCCCCCCCAACAGAAAAACTATGATGCTGTCACCAGCGACACTGTGAAGGTATGGGTTACGCAGGAAGCGCACTACACAGACCCGAAACCTTCGCGCGGCCCGTTCTCTGAGGCTGGGAGCCCCGCTGTTCCTGCTCCGGCCAGACCCCAGGGGGGTGCACTGCCAGGCGGACCCTGCGCACCCCAGCCCAGACCCATCACGGTCGGGATCGGTTGATTCCGCCGCGCGCCCGCTCATGTTTCGGCCCGGCTGGGTCTGGTTGTCGCGTGGCCCCCCCAGTGCCGACCGGACGTGAGAGTGACCCTTCGCCGGAGCGACCTCTGGTGCGGGCTCACCGAGGGCCCCCCGATCGCTGAGCGCGATGCGCGATGATGGTTGCCCGCGCGCTTGGATGGGGCCACCCTGCGCCCCCCTTCATCCGCGCACTCGAGGGTCGCTCCTGCCCAGGGTCGCTCCCTGCGCGCAGCCGACGGCAGCCCCCGGCGGGGGCGCGAAGGACACGGCTCCGGGGGCAGCCGCGGGCTCCGCACGCCGCGGGGCACCGGGCCCACCGCCCCAGCGCGCGCCTGCCCAGAAGAGGGCCTGGCGGGGCGGGCCTCGCCCCGGGCGCCGCGCGCTCCGCGGCCGCCCGCGGGGCCCTCGGAGGCCCCTCGGAGGCCCCCTCGGCAGCTGCCGCCGGAGGGCGTGCGGCGGCGGCGCGGCCGCCGCAGGTCCTCGTCGCCGCCTTTCGCCGTCGTCGCCGCCGCCGAGGGCGCCGTCGGGGTGACGAGGCAGTCCTCGCCTCGCGCGGCGGGCCCTGGGCCGCCTGCACAGCCCGTCGCGCGCGGGCCTCCCAGCGCCCAGGAGCAGAGAGGCTTGAGCCGAAGGGGCTTGTGCAAAAAGACGAGCGGCCACGCCCCAGAGGAGGTCTGCGTCTCAGGACATCACCCAGCCTGGGTCTGCAGGCACACCAGGATGCCCGTTGGGAAAGGTGCCCTCAACGCTTCCTTCTCTCGGGTCGCTTGTGCACGGCTTGCGAGGCCCCGTCCACAACCGCTGGCTTTAGGACCTTGGCCTCGTGAGGGAGGCGTGCAGCGAACCGCGGCCGCCTCCAATCTCGGGCTCGTGCCGTCCACAGAGGCCCCCAGACTCTTCGGACGAGCACGGGGATGCAACCCTGGGATGCCGATCTTCTTAGTTTGGTCGAAGATGTGTGTAATAAATGGGGGCTCCTGGTCATTAGTTCACTCGGGAACACTCCCTGCATCACGTCGGAGCCATGAGCAATCGGATGCAAGCAGAGTGCACTGATAGACGAAGAAGCGTACGCCGTCGAAGTAAGCAGGGCAGTTAGTGGTCACGTATTGGCAAGGGGCTCCTGGAATCGTTTTTGACAAGATCCAGCGACCCGGATTAGAGCCCCCGACTCAACAGGAGCGTCCGCCAAAAGGAATTCTTGGCATGGAGGGATTGGTAAAAGTTCGCACGAGGAGGGACGGGTGGACGCCCGCGCGGAGAGAGACGTACATAGACAGACAGACACACGGACAGAGGCATACACTTTCGCCAAATTTCTGAGGCGAAAAAATGCTTATCATTTTCATTGGGTCGTGCCTGGTACGCAGCCCACAGGATGGTCGGCCCGATTGCCGACGCCCTCGCGAAGGCGGGTTGGCCGATCGAAGTTCACGAATCTCGAAAAGCACCTCGGCGAGACCCTCACGATCGACAAACAGATCCTCCGAGGACCCCCCGGAGAGCAGTCCAAAATCCAAGGCCCCCATCTGCGATTCATGCCCTGTGCACCCCTCAGGAAGGACCGCGATTGCCAAGCACATGCTTCTAGCCCTGTGGCCGAGTTACGAGGCATCTCCACATGTCCGTCCAAGTCTGTGTCCTAATTGTTGGTATGGGCGTTGCCGATCTTGAGGACGAGAATGGCCGAACTGCGGCAGACGAAGACATACTGATAACGAGCCAGACGCAGACGGAGAGGCGAAGAGGACGGGTGGTCGTGGCAGTTTCGCCCTCGCCTTCCGCGCATCCCAGCCCGCCCGAGGTCGTGGCGGCACCGAGATTCCCGATGCAGGCGGGCGCGCGAGCGGTTCTGTTGGTCGGCGCGTGGCGTCGATGCTCTCCTGCAGGGATTGTCGGACCCTTGCGATGCGATCTCGTCCAGCGCCCCTTCACGCGAGGAGATGGAAGGGCTGCGGAGGCGCAGACGCAATCGGGCCAGCAAGGCGTGGGCACCTCTCGGTGGGCTTCCCTGGGCAGGCGGGGCGCACGAAGGAACATGACATGCTGCGGCATGGCGTGAAGGCGCGGCGTGGAAGAAATAGCCTGGCGAAGGACCCAACCACATGTAGTTGTCAAGCATTCAGTTCTGAGTGTCGTCTTCGGTGGAGCCCCCTATGGGGCCACGGAACGTCTGAGGAATGTACCGAGATGGGGCGCGGTGCACGCATGCGATCGCAACCATTGGGGCCTTCGGTGGAGTTCCCCATGGGGCCACCAAACGTGTGAGGGGTATGCCGAAATGGGCGGGGCGGACGCATGCGAACACCGCCATTGGGGCCTTCTGTGGAGCTCCCTTTGGGGCCGCGAAACGTGCAAGGGATGTACCGAAATGGGCGGGGCGGACGCATGCGAACACCGCCTTTGGAGCTCTCGGTGGCCTTTCCTAAGGGGCCACAAAACGTGTGAGCAGTGTACCGAAATAAGCGAGGCGGGCGCATGCGGACGCAGCCACTGGGGCCTTCGGTGGAGCTCCCTGTGGGGCCACGAAACGTGTGAGGGGTCTGCCGCAATGGTTGCGGCTGGCGCATGCGAACGCAGCTACTGCGGCCTTCGGTGGAGCTCCTTACAGGGTCACAGAATGCGAGAGTGGTGTGCCGAAATGGGTGCGGTGGGCGCATGCGGACGCAGAAATTGGGGCCGTCAGTGGAGCTCCCTACGGGGCCACGAAACGTGTGAGGGGTGTGCCAGCATGGGTGCGGTGGGCGCATGCGAACGCAGGCATCGGGGCTTCGGCGGAGCTCCCTACGGGGCCACGAAACGTGTAAAAAGTGTGCCGAAATTTGTGCGGTGGGCGCATGCGAACGCAGGCATGGGAGCTTCCGGCGGAGCTCCCTACGGGGCCACGAAACGTGTAAGGGGTGTGCCGAATTGGCGCGGTGGGCGCATGCAGACGCAACCACTGAAGCCGTCGGTGGAGCTCCCTACGGTGCCACGAAACGCGTGAGAGATGTACCGACATGGGCGCGGTGGGCGCATGCAAACGCAGCCATTTGGGCTTTTTGTGGAGCCCCCTTATGGGGCCACCAAAAGTGTGAGGGGTTTGCCGACATGGGTGCGGTGGGCGCATGCGAACGCAGTCACTGAGGCCTTCGGTGGAGCTCCCTACGGCGCCACGAAATGTGTGAGGAGTGTACCGAAATTAGCGCGGCGGGCGCATGCGAACTCAGCCACTGGGGCCATCGATGGAGCTCCCGACGGGACCACGAAACGTGTGAGGGGTGTGCGGAAAGGGTTGACTGGTGCGGAGTGCTGCAGCAGGGATGGGAGAAGGGAGGAGAGGAAGGAGGAGAGGAGGAGGAGGAGGAGGAGGGAGGAGGAGGAGGAGGAGGAGTGACGCGGGGCGCTGTCTCTTCAAAACGAGGATTCAACACCACAGGATTGTAGGTGCTGACTCCCCAGCATTGTTGAAGTGTCCGAAAAATTGCAGATGCCCGAAGTAACACCACAGCTCCGCCCCCGCTTCAGCTGGAGCGTTGCAACAGGAGGGTAAGTTGGCAATACCCCTACGGAATCGCGCTTTATGTTCAGCACATCTCAGGGCTGTCATTGGACAGTTGTTCGGTGCATGTGCGTATGCGCGTGTGTGTACGCGTGCATGTCTGAGACAGAACATGTACGCGTATGTATGTGCATGTGTATTTGTGTGTGTCCGTACTTTCTTCTGGTTCAAGCAAAATTCCCCCAGATCGTGATTGCATTAGCGGATTATGATTTGTCTTGTAAGGATGTGGATTTGCTTGTCGCGGTTTCCAGCCGCCGCTTGGATTCCAATGGGTTCTTGTGGGATCCCATGAACTTTTGGATCAACAAACGATAGCGCAGGCCATTTCGGAGGGCAGGAGAGGCAGGGCTGGAGACGCCTGTGTGTGCGTGCGTGTGCATGCTTCTTGTGGTGTTGCCGCGGCCTGTAGGTCGAACACTCCACCAATGCTATATCTTGCGTCGCCAGTTCGTAGGGAAGTCCCTGTCGATCGTCTCGCCAGAACATAGGTCGCACCGATACCCTACTAATCGGTTGGTCTGGCAGCTGTACAGGTTGTAACTTGTACCGACGTTTCTGGCTGCCTTGAGTCGAGCTATCGTGCTCATCGGATTCTGGCCGCTGGACGCTCTTTGGATCATCATCTGTCGGTGACTCTTGGTTTCAATTTGCATCAGACTGCTCGCATTTCAGTTCACTTTGAGTCGAGGTCGCTCTGCGTACTCGTCGGGCTGCACGCTTTTGGGCTTACAGTCTCATAACTACACCACCCATTCTCTGCAATTTACAGCGTCCGCCCTTCGCATAGCTGCTTTTTCGGCTAAGTCCGTCTGAATTAGCACCTTCATCTGCTGCACGCGCCAGAGGTTCCTCTGCGCCGCCGACTCAAAAGTGCGTGTGCATGCATGTGTGTGCGTGTGTGTGTGTGTGTGTCCATGTACGCGTTTGCGTGCATGCGTGTGCATTCAGATCTCCATGCGCTTTGAACGCAGCACACAACTAGAAGCCAGGTACTGATCAGGTAGATGCCCACAACGGCCTGTTAACGCAGAACGTGAGCGCGCTTGGGTCACTGTTCCCCTAGCGGATTCATATGATCAGGTGAGGTATGGCGCCGATTTCGGCGGCACGCCCGGGTGCCGAGGTGCCCAGATGCCCAGGTGCTTGGGTGCCCGGGTGCCCTGCAGGTGCCCGGGGGCCCGGGGTCCCCGGTGCCCGGGTGCCCGGGTGCCCGGGTGCCCCGGTGCCCAGGTGCCCGGGTGCCCGGGTGCACAGGTGTTTGGGTGTTCGGGTGCTTGGGTGCCCCAGTGCCTGGGTGCCCCAGTGCCCGGGTGCCCCGGTGCCTGGGGGCCCGGGGGCCCCGGTGCCCGGCGTGCCCTGGGGCCCGGGTGCACGGTAGTTTTATAGCCATATGGTTTCATAGCTTTATAGCCCTATAGCTCTATAGTTATATAGCCCTATAGCTCTATAGCCCTATAGCCCTATAGCCGAATAGCTCTATAGCTCTATAGCCCTATAGCCCTATAGCCCTATCGTCCCATAGCCCTATCGCCCCATAGCCCTATGGCCCTATAACTTTCTAGCCCTATAGCCCTATAGTCCTATATCCCTACATATATATGGAGAGAGAGACCTATAACCCCATAGCCCTCCTATTGCTCTATAGCCTTATAGCTCTATATGTATATACATATATATGTGTATGCCTATAGCCCTATGGCCCTATAGCCCTGTAGACCTATAGCCCCATGGTCCTATAGCCCTATAGCCCCATTGTCCTATAGCCCTAAAAACTGATTGGGTTTTTTCTCCGGTCTCATTGTTGCACGCTGCTTGGAAGTGGCCGTCCAGACGTCTCTGATGAACTAGTCCACAGCAGCCGCACTCGCATCGTTTGCTAGCATCGAGGTGTCAATAAGAAACAGCGGCTTTGAGATACCGCAGCAGCCAGGCGACTCGTTCACTCTCGCACGACCGCGACAAGAACAGCAATGGGGCGACAAGGGCGGCTCTTCCTTCGGCGACAAGGGCGGCTACAAAGGCACGCCGACATTTGGCGAAAAGGGTGTTCCGTCTTTTGGCGCGAAGGGCGGATCTTTCAATGACAAAGGGGGGCCGTCGTTTGGCGACAAAGGCGGGACTTCGTTCAGCGACAAGGGAGGACCCTCGTATGGAGGAAAGGGTGGACCTTGTTTTAGCGGCGTGGGTGGTGGCATGGGGGGTGGCATGTGCGGCGGAGGTGGGTCTGGCATGGCTGGCGGCGTTGGCGGCGGCATGCCCAGCGGCATGCCCGGCGGCGGCATGCCCGGCGGCGGCATGCCTGGCGGCGGCATGCCTGGCAGCGGCATGTCTGGCGGCGGCATGCCAGGAGGCGGCATGCCCAGCGGCGGAATGCCCAGCGGCGGCATGCCCGGCGGCGGCATGCCCGGCGGCGGCATGCCCGGCGGCGGCATGCCTGGCGGCGGCATGCCCGGCGGCGGCATGCCCGGCGGCGGCATGCCCGGCGGCGGCATGCCTGGCTGCGGTATGCCTGGCGGCGGCATGGTTGGAGGCATGTGTGGTGGTATGTGCGGCATGGGCGGAGGGATGGGCGGCAACATGAGCGGCTGCATGGGCGGCAATATGAGCGGCGGAATGGGCGGCAGCATGGGGGGTAAAATGGGAGGCGGCATGCCATGCGGAGGTGTGGGTGGAAAAATGGGAGGTGGCATGTGCGCTGGCATGGGAGGTGGCATGGGCAACGGCATGGGTGGTCCCATGAGCAACAGCGGCGTCGCGGGCGGCAGCATGGGTAGTGGCATGGCTGGCGGCATGGCCGGCGGCGGCATGGTTTGTGGCGGCGGCATGGCTGGCGTCCCGATGGGTTGCCCCGCGTTGCCCAGCGGAGGCATGAGTGTTGGAGGCATGGGTAATGGCAGCATGGGCGTTAACGGCGGTGGCATGTGCGGTGGCATGGGAGGAGGCATGGGCGGTTGTGGCATGGGTGGATGTGGCATGGGCGCTTGCGGCGCAGGCGGCTGTGGTATGGTCGGAGGCGGCATGCCCGCTTTTTGCGACTTCAGTGGCAAGGGCGCCTCCAACGTGCCGCGGCCGACACCGATGACATCGCCTGGGCCAGGACAGACTGGCCTCATGCTTTCGATGCTTGCTACTCTTGATGCTGCGTCCGATGTAGTCACCCCTCTCGTGCGCCATACTCTCTTCTCAGGACATGGGCACGCGTCGGTATCCGCCAAGCCCGCGCAAGCTCCACGATGCGCAGGCAGCATGTGAGCCCCATAAGTTCCTGGCGGGCAAGGAGGCCCTGGAAAATACATGTGTGGGCAAGTTGCCCCCTGGGGTGGGCGTCCCTCCCAGGGGTCCAAATATTCACTTCGGCCAGGGGTCGGCCACGCGCAGAAGGGGGGTAGGGGAGGGGGGAAGGCTTCTTAGAAGGAAGCTACTTCTCAGGAGGCGCGGACCTTCTCTAAAGATGTAGCGCCAGCGCCTTCTAAGAAGCAGCCTCCTTCTAAGAAACCTGCCCCCCTCCCCCTATCCATTTGTGCGCGCCGCCAAAGAGGATAGAGGACCGGCAGAGCACCGTCCCCCACGCGCTCCTCCCGTCGGGAGGTGACGGACGATCCCAGGCCACTTCGGAGGAGCCCCTCCGTGATCTGGCTCCGCCACGATATCCCCCAAAACAGCTTTCCAGGGCACCTGGACGAGTCTTGGAGAGTGCTATGGTGCGCAGCCCAAATGGAGTCCCTAAGGCGTTGCTCGTGAGACCCTTGGGAGAGAAAAGCATGCGAAGCCCTTACATGTTTCGGTGTTTGTCGTATTCCGCTTTGTTCTTCGCAGACCACGTACCCTGGAGGCAACCCCCGAGAGCCTAGCGACGGCCCCAGGGGAGGCCCAAGCAGAATCGAGCATGCCCTAAGACTCTGAGCATTCGCCCGGGACCATGTTCACGGCCAATGGGCAGAGACGGGCCCAAACGATATTGAGTCGTTCAGAAATTAATGATCTGGTGTCGGCCCCGTATCTGGTCCTATGTGTTTGGAGGCTCTTCGGTGGGGGAGAGGTACTCTTCATGGGCCGGCCACTGCCATCTACGCTGAGAGTCGCGGATGCGTTTTATCATGGCGTGGCGCTTCTTACCTCAGCGCTTGTGCGTGAGTTCGAGTACCCGATGAACAGCCGTTCCCCAGATCCTGGCAACTATCGGGGGAGGTTGAGCAATCTCGTGAATTGAAGAGTTGCGTAGCGCACTGGGCATAACAAACGTCCGAACTACCCCAAGTCAATAGCAAACACAGTGCCAAAAGTTGCGATGGAGAAGCTCGCATGCATTGTGCAAGGCTGTTTTGGATCACATACACAGAGAACGTAATGGGGAACGCTGTTGCAGCGGCCGACGCGGATACTGTGTTGGATTACTCCCCAATTAGTGCTTGCATTTAGGGGGTCTGACTTCAGGAGGGAAATTACTCGACGATGGGCTCCCCATATGTGCATCTCATTCTCTTGGTACGTCTTTCTATTGATATCTGTCAATGAGCGCCTGTGTGCGAGGGCGAACCGTTCGCTCGAGACATTCCCACAGTCTGCAAGCATGAGTGCGACCAATAGCAAATCTGAGAGCGACTGATTCTGAGTGTGAGTTAATCTGGGTGCGATTGAGCCTGGGTTTGAGTGGGTATGCGTGTGAGTAAATATGAGCGCGAGTGCGTCTGTGTGCGAGTGGGTCTGAGTATGGACGAATCTGAGTGTGAGCCAGTCTGTGATTGAGCGGATCGTAGCATGATGAGTCTGAGCATGAGTGAGTATGGGCTTGAGTGGGTCTGAGTGTGAGAAAAAGTGTGTTAATGAATATAAGTGCGAGTGAGCCGAGTGTGATTGGGTATGGATGTGAGGCAGTCTGAGTGTGAGTCGGTCTGCGTTTGAGCGGACCGAAGGATGATCAGTCTGAGCAGGAGCGAGTCTGAGTATGAGTGGTTCTGAGCGTGAGTCTGAGTGTGAGTAAGTTTAAGTATGGATATGAGCGAGTCTAAGTGCGAGTGAGCCTGCGTGTGACTGAGTCTGAGTATGAGTGAGTACGAATGCAGAAGAGTGAAGGAGAGCGGAGAGCGAAGGAGAGTGAGGCGGAAGCGTTTGAGTAAAACTTCGATCGTCTGGCCATGGCTACTCGAGTTGCCCACGTCCTCCTCCTCCTCATCATCATCAGCATCAGCATCATCATGCCCTTCCTGCTTCTGCTCCTACCGTGTTCATGCTGTCCTCCTTCTCCTCCTCCTTCTCCTCCTCCTCCTCCTCGTCCTCGTCCTCCTCCTCCTCCTCGCTTCCTCCTTCTCTTCCTCCTCCCCCTCCTCCTCCTCCTCCTCCTCCTCCTCCTCTTCCTCCTCCTCCTCATCCTCCTCCTCCTCCTCCTCCTCATCCTCCTCCCCCTTGGGAGTGCTGCAATCAGCAAATCGCCTGAGACATCCTCCCAAAACTGCTCCGAAAACGACAGATGCCCAGCATCATAACGGCCAAACCGCCTGAGACATCCCCGCAAACTGGGCGCGAACGTCCTCCAAACCTGTTCCGAAAGCGAAACATGTTGGGATAGAAACTGGCCAAACCGCCTGAGACATCCCCACAAAATCCCGCGAAAGGGGCCGAGTGAAATACCCCCCCGCCGCTCCCCTTAGAGTGCTGAAACCAGCGAATCGCCTGAGACATCCTCCAAATCTGCTCCGAAAGCGAAACATGCTGGAAGAGAAAATGGCCAAACCGCATGAGACATCCCCACAAAATCCCGCGAAAGGGGCCGAGTGAAATACCCCCCCGCCGCTCCCCTTAGAGTGCTGAAACCAGCGAATCGCCTGAGACATCCTCCAAATCTGCTCCCAAAGCGAAACATGTTGGAGGAGAAAAAGGCCAAACCGCATGAGACATCCCCACCAAATCCCGCGAAAGGGGCCGAGGGAAATACCCCCCCGCCGCTCCCCTTAGGAGTGCTGAAACCAGCGAATCGCCTGAGACATCCTCGCAAACTGCTCCGAAAGCGAAACATGTTGGAAGAGAAAATGGCCAAACCGCCTGAGACATCCAAACAAAAATCCGCGAAAGGGGCCGAGGGAAATACCCCCCCGCCGCTCCCATTAGGAGTGCTGAAGCCACAGAATCGCCTGACACATCCTCAACATCAGTGTGTGCGTGTGTGTGTGAGTCATCCGATGAGTGGACCTGAGTGAGTGTAGTATATGTACGAGTACAAGTACAAGTGAGTCTGAGTGATGAATGAGTCTGAGTGATGAGTGATGAGTCTGAGTCATGACTGAGTCCGAGTGATGAGTGGGTCTGAGTCATGCCTGAGTCTGAGTGATGAGTGAGTCTGAGTGATGAGTGACTCTGAGTGATGAGTGGGTCTGAGTGATGAGTGAGTCTGAGTGATGAGTGAGTCTGAGTGATGAGTGAGTTTGCGTGATGAGTAAGTCTGAGTGGGTCTGAGTGAGAGGAGTGGTGTGTTCTCGTCTGTGTTCTCCTCCAGCGCGGTCCGCCAATAACAAGAACCCCATACTCAGGATATGGGGAAAAAACACACAGACACAATGAATCGTCGATTCCCCAGAAAATATGGGAATATATGGGAAGTGGGGGGGAAGACAGAAACCCAGAAAATATCGGAAAATATAGGGAAAATGTCTATTTGTGTGTGTATTTATTTGTGTGTCCTGGGGCCCCCTCATGACTGCTACTCAAGAGCACTGGGCCCCACTGGCGGTCTGCCCGGCTCGTCGCCGCCCGCCGCCGCCGTCGCCGTTGGGCCCCCGTGGCGGTCTGGCCAGCGCGTCGCCGCCCGTCGCCGCCGCCCGCGCGCTGCGATTGCAATCGCATTGCATTGCAATCGCACTGCATCGCATTGCTTTGCATCGCATGGCATTACTTGGCATCGCGTTGCCTTGCTTTGCACGGGATTGGCTTTCCGTTGCTCTGCAGTGCTCCGCATTGCTGCGCATCGCAGTGCACTGCTGCGCAGTGCTGCGCAGTGCTGCGCAGTGCTGCGTACTGCTACGCATTGCTGCGCATTGATTTGCATTGCTCTGCATTGCAACGCAGTGCAACGCAGTGCTCTGTACTGCTTTGCCTTGCTGTGCATTGCTGTGCAGTGCGTCGCACTACCTTGCATTGTTTTGCACCACATGGATTGCACCACCTAGATTGCGATGCACCGCATATTTTGCAAGAAGTCACTGTTTGGAGTCCACGCTGGCTTGCATTCTATAGTGGCATTCGGCCCATCCCGCTTCTGTTTCTGGGTTGAAGGTCAGAGAGCTCATGAATGCTTGTGGGGATATCTTGGGAGGCCTCGCGAACGCCTCTTGGATGTGGGTTTGGGGTGTCTTGGATGCTTAACGGGGGCCTCGAGGGGGCGTTGGGGGAGGCTGGTTTGGGCCTCTTGGGGGCTTGCTGGTGGTATCGGAGCTTTTGGGGCGGATGGTTTGAAATGTCGGTTCGTGTTCCCCCTTCTTGGGTCTCTTTTGGAAGCTTTTGGGCCGTGTTGGGTCCCGGAGCATCGGAAGGTCGAAAAGGCGAGAACGCTAAAATATTTCAAAACCTGCAGAGTGTCAATGATTCGGGCTTCTTGGTGCCCTGTCTTGGGGACCTCTTGGGCCCTCTTAGTGCGTCTTGTAGCGATATTCGGGCGATTCGGGGCCTTCTTGGGGCCACAAGATAGGATAGCGCGTCAAATTTTAGTTTGCATTGTTGAATACATCTTCGCCTTAGCACGTTCGGGTAGCGTATCGGCACGGCGACAGCCCAGGTCTTTGCCTCCCGTTTGGAATGCACGACGATTTCCTCGCCAAGTCAGCCGCTTCACCCAGCGCGCCGACGGAGCGACAAGAGGAGTGGAAAGTGCAGCACATGGACACTGCACGGCTGCGCGAGGAAGACGGCTTCGCCTTCTTTCATATTTTGATGCCCAAGGCGCCAGGCGGGGCCGCAAGGCACGCAAGGCATTGGGTTCCCTGGCCAAGAGGGCGGCCGACGCCACGGGGTACGAACGACGCTCGGCCTGCGAACCAGCACGCCCAGCAGTTCTCTGCCTCCCTGCACGAGGCCACTGCGCGGGCAGTGTCGCGGCGCCTCCCGGCGCCGTCTGGACGGGCGGCCGCGGCCGCGGCCCGCTTCGCCCGGCGCCTCCTGCGCTACCTGGAGCCCCGCCCGCCACCACCCCTGCTGGGCAGCGCGAGCGCCCCCTCCACCCAGGGAGCCTCCTCCTCCTCCTCCTCCCTCCTCCTCCTCCTCCTCCTCCTCCTCCTCCTCCTCCTCCTCCTCCTCCTCCTCCTCCTCCTCAGGGGGGGGGGGGGGCGAGGCGCGAGCTCCAGCGTGAAGGGGGCGCACCCCGGGGCCCCCCTTGCCGACCAGGCCCAGGGCGCGGCAGGCTGCTGCCCCGCGGGCCCGCCACGGCCGGGCTCGGGCGGGGCACGCTCGCGAGCGCCCCGTGCAGGCGAAGCCGAGTCGCGGCAGGGCGTCCCGCGCCCGCCGCGGGGTGCCCCCCCCCCCCCCAGCGAAGGCCGGGCGCTCGCCCGAGCCACTGCTCGGCGTCGCGGTCGCTCGGGCCTCGCCGTGGGCAGGGCAGCTCGCCTCTCCGGGCCCCAGGCTGTGCCGGGATGCTTTTGCGGTCGTTGCTCTGGTGGCCCTCTCTTCTCCTCCTCCCTCGCCCACCCCCTCCTGCTCCTACCATGCTCATGATGTGTGTGTGTGTGTTGCCCCCTCTTCCCGCCTGCCCGCCCGACTGTGTCGCCCTGCAGGACCCGGCCTCTCGCCAGCGCTTTCGTCATCGCCCACATGTTCTCTCCTTCTCGCCCTCGCTGGGCAGCTCAGCGTGCCTGGAGCCAGCGCTGCGGGGGCAACGCACCAGGATAGTCGTTCCACGCTGTCTCCCGCAACGTCGGCCCCTTGCCGTCCTACGAACTCCCTGCCGTCCTACAATGTCTGCGGCAACTCCACTTCATGGGGACGCAGCATGGTCTCATGGAACGCACAGGCCGGCTTCGCCGCCGACCTCAAGAGGCACGAGCAGAAGTACAGGTACGTAACAAATCTCATGACGAGATACGGCATCGGCATGTGGACCGAGACGCACGGCACGGCGGGCGGCAATGCCTCATGGAGGGAACCTCAGGGTTGCAAGTCATGGTGGGAGCCGTGGCATTCCACCTCCTGCGCCCGAGTGGGGATCACGGTCAAGCAGCCTTTCTTGAAGAGTTTCGGTTCCGATCTCACCGAGTGAGACATCGTCATTCCAGGTAGGGCGGCAATATTTCGCCTGAAGGGCTGCCAGGGCAGACTCGACATCATGGTCGCCTACTTCCCGACCAGCTCTGACGCACTCGCGGAAGACGAGGAGGTGTTGCGTCTTGCTTATTCTGGCGATTCACCGCCTACGTCTCTTGCTCTTCGTGCTGCCATGCGCCGCGTGGTCGCCCGGGCCATCCGGCCATTGGCCACTGCGATGACAGTAGTTGCAGATGACTTCAACTACGTTGTAGACAGTTGCGACCGCATCTCCCTGACCGCGGGCGGCTATTCTGATCATCGGAATACCGCTGAGGAACGAGACTGGCGCAGCCTCACTGCCCAACGCCAGGTGAAGTAGATGTTCCAGGGCAGCTTCACGCACGCGTCTGCCAGTGGACGTTCGCGGCTGGATCGCCTTTGCTGCAACGTCCACCCTTTGGAGGCCCTCAGCAAGCACACCAGCTCCACGGTGCTCGAGTGGGTCCCCCACCTCTCCGCGCACCGCGCGGTCATTTTCGTGGCACATAGTCCGCAGCAACGCAACGTGGAAGACAAGCCCATCCAGGAGTCGGCGTACGCTCACCCCGACATCGCACGCAGGGTGGAGCTCGAGTTCCAGGAGCGGCTCCTGCACGATGGACTGGGGCCCAGAGAAACCGATCGACGCCTCGGACTACGAGGACAGGCCTGGCACCACCCTTCGTTTTGCTTGGGCCGTCGAACATGGGAGCGTCGGCACCTTGAACGCCTGTCTCCACCGCTATCGCTTCCTCGCGACTCACCACAACCCGTACAGCCTGCACGAGGGATCGCTGGGCTTATTCGTGCATTTCCGCGTGCATGCTGCGGACCTAGCCAAGAGCCACGCCCTCGATGAGCTCGTCAAGCTCCGCGAAGACTTCGATTCACTTACCGAAGAGCAAGCCCGCCGCCGCAGGCAGAAAAACCACAGGCTGCTGACCCGCCTCGCCCCGAGCACAGGCGAGGCGCTCCGAGCGCTGCGGCTTCGAAGCGGCCGGCACGCCACTGCCCCGGAGGAGATCGCCAAGGGCTTCAGGGAGCATTGGGAGGCGGCTTTCACCGCCAAGCCGGCGGACGCGCCGCTCCAGGACGAGTGGACCCGGGAGGCGAGCCGGGCCGCCGCCGCGCATCACATCGCTCGCGATGACGACCGCCGCTGGCAGCCCACCCGCACAGCTTCCGAGCGCGCCCCCGCCACGTCACGAGGCTCCGCGCCTGGCCCCGGCGGCGCCCCCCGGGCCGCTGCACCTCGGCGCACGGGGACACCGTGGAGTGCGAGGGCGCGGACGCGATCGGCGACTGATGTCCCGAGTTCAGCGAGAGTGCGATGGACAGGACGGCAACGGCCGGGATGTTCGCGCGGCCGAGGGGACTCGGCCGCTCAGCCTAACCAACACCGACGACCGCCTGACGGCCGATGCCATCCAGCTTCGCATCGAGCCCGCCCTCGGCCCGATGATGCCTTTGATGCGAGGGGGATTTGTGGGGGACGCTCTGAGGTTGCCAAAATCTTGGGCTACGAAGAGTCCGTGGTCCTAGCGGCGGTGCGACGTGACGAGAGCGGTACTGCATGATTCGACGTCAAGGCGGCCTTCCCCAGTGCGAACCACAACTTCCTTCTCAATTACTTCCAGCAGAGCGGCCTGCCCCCCCCCCCCGAGAAAATCATCAGATTCGTGAGGCATTTATACCGCCAGAGTTCTTGCTGCGTGCAAGTCGTGGGAGACAGGTTCGAGGGGCTCGAGCTGTCCGCTGGCAGTCGACAGGGATGCCCCCTCTTCTCGCTGCTCCTTGCGCCGGCCGCGGACTTGCTCCGCAAGCGCCCACGCCGTGGACAACCGAACCTACGCGGGCGATGTGGCCGTAGCCTTCGCCAGCCTCGGTTCAGACATTCGCAGCTTGGAACCCATCTTTGAGGAACACAGGTTGATTGCAGCCCTTCGCCTCCACCACGTCAAGTCAGCGGTCGCTCTTCTGCTCCCCGGAGCAGCTCCTGGTCGGACTTCTCCTTCCAAGGTCATGCCAAGTACTTTGGCGCATGCTTCGGGCTTGAAGGAGATGAGGCGCCATGGGCCAAACCGCTGTTCAATTTCCGGGAGCGGGAAGAGGTCTGGAGGCACGTCGGGGGAGGAGTGTTTGCGAGCATCTTCGCACACAAGATGGAACTGCTCTCCGCGCTCGCGCTCGCGGCTCGGCTCGAGGCTCCACCGGCCGCGCGGGAAGCGGCAGCACAGGCGGCGTGTCGGGCGCTCCTTCGTGGTCCCCTTGCCCGGGCGACGCCCGGGCGCCCGCGCAGGGCCCAGCACCGTGGGCCCCCCGCGGAGCGCCCCGGCCTGCCCTGCGCCGCACCAGCCGCGGAGCGCAGGATCTACGAGATGGGCGCCACCAAGACAGGTGGGCTCAAGGTCGCGGAGACCTCCCGCCACGTCGACAGGGCCGTCGCAGACTGCGCCCTCCTCGGCTGGAGGGCCAGGCGGGGAGGTCGGGTCCCAGAGCTCGCCCCTCTCCACAGCGTGCCGAGGGCCCGCGACGAGCTCCGGAGGTCATCGCCAGACTTCAGGATCCTCGGCGGCATCGCGAAGCACGCGATCGGGGCCAGATGGCAGCGCACCCGCCACGACTGCGCACGTCCTCCCTCCGCCGACGAGCCTCTCCGGCATGTGCGGCGGCGCCTGGACAGGCGGCAGATGCAGACCCCGCTGGGCCAGCGAGCGGGCCGCGCGGCCCTGCTTCTCCAGGGTCTCCGGAGCTGCATGCCCCCCCGAGTGCCGGCAGCCACGCTCAAGATCCTTTGCTACTACGGGCTCATTACCGGCCGCCGCTTTCAGCAGCGGACGCGCTGCCGGTTCTGCCGCTCGATGGAGGACAGAATCGAGCGCTACGCGCACAGGCCATTCAGCAGTTCGCAGAACGCTGCCTGGATCTCCCGGTGCGTGGCCCGCGACCGCTGGAGGTTGCCCTCTTCACGGGGGTCGCCATGGCCTCCCAGAACCACGCCGCGCTCTGCAGCACGGCTTCATTGCAACGCGCAATCATTCACGCCGCGACGCGAACGCGAGCACACGCATTCGCAGAGGCTTCATTGCAAGTCTTTCGTCTACGTCTCCTCCATCTTCGTCCAACCCTGGGCCGCCGACGTCCTCTGACGCCCTGCTGCAGGGACTGCGGGAGGGCGCGCTCGGCCACCCGAGGGCCCTGGAGTTCCAGTCCTGGCGCTGCATGTCTACACGACCCACGCAGTTCTATGAAGCCTCGTTTGCCGTCGTTTGGCGGACCACTGTGCCGTGCAGCTGGCTTCTGGTCTTATTGTCCCCCCTCTCGCGTCTGTCCTCCCCCCCGCGCCAGCGTCCGGCCACCTAGCTGCGGCCCAATTTCGGCCAGATGCGTTAGTGGACCTCCGGTCGAATGGGAAACTTGTGCGCGCACCCGAGGTCATGCCCTGGCTAGCCTACGCATTCGCGAGCTGTGTTGTTTACATCCTCCTCCTCCTCCTCCTCCTCCTCCTCCTCCTCCTCCTCCTCCTCCTCCTCCTCCTCCTCCTCCTCCTCCTCCTCCTCCTCTTCCTCATCTTGCTCCTGCCGTGGTGAATGTATTGCTTGGCCATCGAGGCTGCTCAGTTTGGGTCTGTCGCACAACAGTTTGGCAGGTCAGGGGATGATACGTTTTGGGATTACTTCGCGACCCTGAGGACGACGACGCTGACCACGACGAAGTTGAAGGAGGAGGAAAAGGAACCGCATGAGGAGGAAGCGGAAGACATTGCCGAGAAGGTGGAGGAGGTGAAGAAAGAGAAGAAGGAGAAGAAGGAGGAAGAGGAGGAGCAGGTGGAGGGTGGCGATCATGTGGAGTAGCATGGATGGTGATGTGGAGGCAGGGGTTGAGGGGGGGGGGGCTGACCACCAGAGGGAGTGCAGGGGGACGGGAAAAGGTGAGAGATGATGGGGTTGGGTCGAGGATACTGCGGGGTAGGACTTATTGTGTATCTTGCGCTCTGTGGGGATTCTCTGACTGAGAGTCTCTTAGGGGCCTCGCAGAGCCGACAGCTCGAAGTGTCCGCTCGGGTGTCCCGTGTGAGCACGTTTTTGGAATCGTGCTGAGGCTCTCTGGAATCGTCTTGGAGGCGTTTGGGGCTGCTGTTGCATTCCCTGGGGCTGTTTGCGGGGTCTTTTGGAGGAAGGCTTCTGGAGTCGTGGTGGGGGCCTCTGGACTCGTCTTGGGAACGTTTGGGCTGTCTTTGCGTTCCCTGGGGCTGTTTGCGGGCTCGCTTGGAAGCCTCTTCGATTGTCTGCAGGCGATCGTGAGGGCCTCTTGGGCTGTCTTTGAGCGGCGGGAAGAGGAAAAGGCGAGAACGCCTTCGGGTATCCTGGGGGCCTCTTGTGGGCCTCTCGGAACTTTACGGGGTCGATGGCTCGAAGTGTCCGTTCGTCCCTCTTCTGGACACGCTATTGGAGCCATCTTGAGGCCGTGTTGGAGGCGTTTTGGACTGTGTTGGGCTTCTCTTGGGGTGTTTTGGAGCGCTCGTGGAAGCCTATTGGGCCGTCTTGGGGCGATCTTGAGGGCCTCGTCGGTCGTCTTGGAGCGGCGGGAAGCGGCAAAAGCGAGAACCCTCAAATCTTGCGACAAAATCTTAAAGAAAATCGATAAATGTTGACTCTTGGGATTCTCTCGGGAGTGCCTTTGTATGCCTCTTGGGGCGTCTCGGAGGTCTCCTGGGCAGTTTGGAGGACGTGAGGGCGTTTTCGACCGATCGTTTGGCGATTGGGGGCCCTCTTGGACGCTATCAAAGACCTCTTAGGGCACTCTGATATTGTTTTGGCATGTTGTCCAGCCCCGGAACCCCCGGGGGGGAGATGCGTATCTGACCCCCCCCCACCCCCGTCGGGACCACCCTCCCGACGGGGGAAGGATCAAAAGGAAGGGGCTTCCCTTCGACTCGATCACGACATTGCTAGGTTTTTCTCTCGCTGACAGGCTTGACGGATGTCAGGGTCGACGGATGTCGGTTAGGCCCTAGAAGGATCCGGGCTTCTTGGACGACACCAACGGAACCCGACTCCAACGGATGAACCCCACACACACACGCCGACAGGGTCGGCGGATTTCACAGCTAACGACTTGTGGATTCCTCCGCGTTGGAAAAAGACCGGAGAGTTGAGCAAGCATCAATCGATCGACAGGGTCACTAGATTCTCCCCAGGGAGAACATAACTGCGTTTGCCAGGCCACCACTCGACGCGCGGCACGCTTCCGAACATTGGGATCCCGTTGACAGAGGGTTGCAGGGCCGATCCAATGTTTCTCGGGCGCGAAGGACGAGGACAGGTGGGGAACAGGAGAAAATCCCAAATTTTCAAGCAATCAAGTACCCACACACACACATATATATATATATATGTAGATACACACAACTGAGAACTACCAAACAAATAAACAAACAATCAACTAAACCAACGACAAACCAAAATAGCGGAACTGGAGAAGAGGGGCGGATGAGGGGTGCAAGCTCGAGGTGCGGGGATCGGGTCCCCACTCGTCGCGCCGCCCCCTTCCCTGGCAGGAGACTACGGAAAGAGCGGCAAAGGCGATGGATTCGGCGTGGGCGGCATGGGCTGCGGCTTCGGCGGCGGCAAGGGGGCGGGGCCCTACGGCGGTGGGGGGGGAGGAGGCTGGGGCGGCGGAGGCGGCGGAGGCGGGGGGCCGGCGGCCTAGCTCGAGCGTGCCGCTGCAAAGGTGCCCCAGCAAGGCCAGTTGGGGCCCCAGACGCACGTTTGCCCCAGGACAATGCCGTTGGGTCTGGAGCTTCGCCTTCATGATGCCAACGCAGTGCATGCATCGATTGCCGCTGGCACGGGCACAACGTCGCCCGAAGGCTTTTTCGGGGTGAGGCAGAGTCCACTATGAGGTCCGTGTGCGAGGGCGCTTGCGGAGTGCCCAGAGGGTCCTCTACTGAGTTCATCCTAGCTTCGCGTGCCGATTTGGGCGGGGGACTTGCCGAGGATCGGTCGCGCGCGATCAGCTGCCTATCAAGAGCTGCCGCCCTCCACCTCACTCCCTTTCCCTCCCGCGGTCTGCTCTGCAGGGACTTCGTGCTTTGCCAGACGTCGCGCAATCTCACGCTCAGTGATGGTTTGGCCGCCGAGCACGGCTCGCAGCGCGGCAGCCGAGCCTGCGCTGGTGGGCGGAGCGCCGGCTCCAGCGAGCACGATGCTTGACACGTTCGTAGGTGCTTTTTGGGTCCGTGTGAACGTTGGGACGGCCGACCCCCGGGCGAGGTGACCGACACCCCAGCGCGCGTGGTCCGTCCGAGCCTGGGCCCCAGCGAGGTCACCGAGTCGATTCTTCGAGGCGCGGGGGAGACCGCAGAATCGCGGTGTCTTGCTTCGCGAGTACGGCCTGGGCATGCTTGTGACAGCAGAAGACAGCGCGCCCATGAGTCTGGGCATCTCTCCACCGTCGCCCCCAGCCATCGGAGACTACGAGTGCCAACCCGATGTCCCCACACGTGCACAGCAATTAGCGAATAGGCGATGCGCATGTGCTACGGCATGCTGTCATTGTCAGGGCGGCTGATGGCCTGATGGACTTTCATGACGGAGCATTATTGATTCTCTGGGGTCTTCGAACATTTTTGCATTCTGGGCCGCAGAATGTTCCAGTAGATGCGACCTCGGCGCTGGCATTTCCAAGCAAGACGTGTTCGACATTGCCCCCTCCAGTTGGCATGCCCCCATCTTCCTCACTCGACCAACGGCGCTGAGTGAGCGCACGTGGCTGGCACCACTTCTGCAGCTGTCCACGACCCGTCCGTGGCGGGCCAGGACGCACACTGGCAGATCCCCCTCCTCATCCATTCACCCTGTCACCCTCGGGCTTCTCCTCTCCCCCGACCCCCGCTGGCCGTCCTCCTCCCCCACCCCTTCCTCCCCCGGTTCCGCCGAGGTCGTGGGGCGGCGGCAAGTGAGCGCGCCGCGCGCGAGCGCACAGCCAGCCCAGCGCAGCACCACCCGCTGCACGGGGGAGGCCTGGGGCGGCGCGGGGGGAAGAGGGCACAGTGCAAGAGACCGGCCCCGTCGGAGACGCTCGAGGTTTTCGCCCCCCATCTCCCGCACGCTTCGGCGCCCTGGCTGCGCGGCCCTTGGGGGAACTTTCTTGTTCGCTACAGGGGGGGGGTCTCGCATGCAGGTTCTTCTCGGTGCGACGCGGCGGCGACCCTGCCGCGGGCGGCGTAAAAAGGTTGGACGCCGCCAGTGGCCCAGAGCCGGCCGATGTGGAACGGTCTGGCGATCGAGGAACCGCCTGTCGTGCAAGTTCGAACGAGCCACGGGGTGTCAGGAGCCAAAGCCGGGCTCGGCGCGGCACGAGCCTGCCGTCATTCGAGGAGGGTCGTGGCAAAGGAAGGCGCAGAGGAGGGGCTGGGCCACGGCCCGTCCTGGACCTCCGTGGGGCGGCACGGCCGGCGCGCGATGCCCCACCGCGGGCCCCTAACCCGCCTGGAGGCGGTGCCTTCCTCGTCCATTTGGGCTCTTCGACCGGCGGTCGAGCGGGCAGGGAGATGAAATCCAGTGAAGTCACAACGCATGCCTTGAAATTGCACGTGCTCCATAGCCTCGAAAGCGCATCAAAACCGCACGTCGAACGAGGGGGTCCCTTGAATCGAGGAGGTTGGCTCTGCCCTGCCCGCCGCAGTGTCCCCTGGGGGTCCCTCACGTCGTACCCCTCGGCCCAGGGGCACAGGAGTCCTCACACCGTCAAGATGCTGACACGCGGACCACTTCGGGCTCAGGAGGGGCTCTGGTTTTCAGGCCGATCCTTAGATCTTGGTTGGGGAACCTATTCAAAACCGAGGCTCGCCGTGGCCAGAAAAGCCCCGTCTTCCCTTATTTAGCGCTCCTTATGGTAACGCGATGACAGTACCCAAGAAGCCCATTCCAGAGAGTCCCAGGTTCCTCGTGGAGGACGGAGGAGTGAAGGAGGAAAGGGAACAGGAGGCGGGACCAGAGATGAGGCAGGAGGGAGCAGGAGTTTGTGGCCGTTTGGGCATACTCAAGTGCGAGGGGGGTACGATGGGATGCACGCGTTGCATGCAGAGGCATTGCCAATCAGCGTGCTGGCAAAGTGGCTTTCAAGCGCAGCTACGAGCGCAAAGCCTGTACTAGCAGGCCGCCCAGGAGGGAGGAGGGAGGGGAAACGCGGGAGAGGAGGGAGTGGGAGGTAAGAGGGAAAGGGTGGGGGGACGTCAAATGCCCCATCCTGCCCCTGGCCCGTGCCCTCCTCCCAAGACTTTCAGTCGGCCCACCCGCAAGTCTCCCCCGACGCTGGTACAGCGCTAGGCCTCGCAGTAGCAGTCATAGGTGTGTCTTCAGGTCGTCGATGGTGCCGCCGGACTTCGCTGGATGGTAAAAGGCGCCAGGCGTCCTTTGGAACGCCTCGTCCCTCTGATCCCCCTCTGCCTCCAACAGCTGGATGCCTCGGCAGCCCTCGGCAGCACAAGGGAGGCCGGTTGGCCCAGGCCGACCTCTGCGGACAGGCATCGCTCTCTACAGCCAGAGCTTTTGGCGGTCGTGCCCGCGAAGGGCCGCCAGGCTTGGCTGCGGAGGAGGCGACACTGTGCGCTCGGTTGCCGTTCCCCGCGCACGCCTGCCGCGCGAGCGATCGCGGAGACCCAGCTTCCCAACGCACCGCATCTGCCCAGGAGCAACCCCCAAGAGAGCTCCAGGGCGGGGCTTGGACTGGCATAAGCTGTTCCAGAGCGTCCTGGAACGCTCCCAGATTGTCCCGGAGCGCTCTGTAACGGCCGCGGCGTTTGACTCACCCTCCAGGATCGATGGGTTTCAGAGGTCATCGATTTGTCCCTGTCCGGCTAGCTGAAGGACGTCACGTAGGGCTGGGGAGGACAAGAGCACCCCACCCCCGCCTGGCCCCCTCCCCAAGGGGGCAGGAGGCAGGTGCGGGGTGGGGCAGACTTGTGGCATCGCTCTTGCGACGCAGCCACCGTGTGCTCCTTGACAACCGGGGCAGGACCATGCCTGCAAGAATGCGTCGCAAAGCGACGCCAAAAGTAAGCCCCATCCCCGCCTGCTCCCGCCCCCCTTGGAGGGGTGCCAGGTGGTGGTGGTGTTCTTCTTCTTTTTCTTGTTCTTATTATTATTATTAGTATTATTATTCTTATTATTCTTCTTCGTAGTATTATTATTCTTAGTGTTATGATTTTTTCTTAGTATTATTATTATTAGTAGTATTAGTATTAGTAGTATTATTATTATTATCATTATTATTATTCTGCCCCAGTAGTGGCGCCACGAGGGCACCTATGGAAGACCCGTTAGCGCAAGAACCAAGAGTCGGCCATAAAGGTTTTCGCTTCTTCGGGCCATGCTGAGGCTCTCTCAGGGCGTTCTTGGAGGCGTTTGGGGCTCTCCTGGGGCCCTCGTTGGGGCCTTCGGGGCCTTTCTGGGCCGATCAAGGAGGCCATCCATCCTCATCCTCCTCCTCCTACCAAGAAAGGCCCCCTTCGGAGCCTAAAAACCACCTGTTGGGGCCACACTGGGACGCTCTTGGGGGCATTCCCGGCCGTGTTGGAGCCCGTCTGGGCCTCCCTTGAGGCTCTATTGCGCGATGGTGGGGCCATCCTGAGGCGTCAGATTTTCATCAGACGCGAAGTAGCGAGAAGCCCAACACAATTGAAAAGAGCACGTAGCTTTTAAATGGTGTCTGGGGACGGACTGCCCTTGTCATAACGGTCAACCATGTTTGTCGCCCCCGTTCCTGGGACCAGCGTGCCAGCCGCGCATCAGAGTCCAAGATAATCTCCAGGACGGCTTCGACGACAAGGCAGGACAAGGCAGGGCAGGACAAGACCAAATCGGCCCAAATTGTGCACGAGACAGTCCGAGAAGGCCCCAGACGGCCGCGAGAGGGCCCCCGAGAGGCCCCGACGAAGCAACTTGTTTCACATGCTCGCACGGTTTGGCTGCACGTCGCCTAGGACGGCCCAAGAGACCTTGAATGGTGTCCCCAGGCGGCCCAAAGCGGCTCCCATGACGGCCCAGAGCCCCCCCACCCTTCACCCCAGGATGGCCCCAAGAGGCTCCCCCAGAAAGCCCCAAAGTTGTCTGAATCGTGACAAGGTCGTTGCAGGCAACTGCGAACGGTCTCAGGGATCAACTGAGGACAGATGAGGGTGAAGTGCGTGAAGGATGTCCCTAATTTCAAATCCCTTGAATCATCGGAGCGGTCAGCTGAGGGCTACTGGGAGTCCATGAGGCACGAAGTGCTTGAGCGGTGCGCCAAACTGAGGCTCCGTTCAGCCGTCTTGTGGGTTAGCGGATCTCCCCTGGAGGACCACGGGGTGAGACCAGCACCAGGTGTGTTGGCCGAAGTTTGGATTCATATTGAACCTGAAAGCTCGTAAGCCGAAGGTAGAACATGCTGATCTCATACACTTGGTCAACACGTTCCATGATATGGACGTCTTGTTGGAGCCGTTTAGGGCCTATCGCACCGTCTTGCAGGCCCCGTCTTCGTGGGAGGCTCTGTGCCCCCGTCCAACCATATTGGGGCCTACTGAAGGGACGCTGGAGGTAATCGTGGGCCAGTGTGAGCCACATTGCGCAGTCTTGGAGACTATCTTGGCATGCATGGTGCGATCGTAGGCTGCGTGACCAAGCTACAGCGCGACGGGCCTCCCTCCCGCGGGCTGGTGGCAGTCGGGCTGCGGTGGGGCGGGGGGCATGCCCGAAAGGGTTCTTGCCGACCCAACCATAACGCGGCAGCTCGCCCCTGCCGACCCAGCCACCAAGGACGACCCCGACGCTCCCCCGATGACCCGTTGGCCGTCCTAGCCTTCCATCTGCGCTGCCCAGTCGGCGTACCCCCCCTCTATTCTGAGCTATCTTCTTCAGCCATCGTGGACGCTCTGGCCGCTCAGGGGGGACGTCCAGACCCCTGGGGGGAGGGGGGAGGAAAGCCGTCACCGAAGGTGAGGACGCGAGGGGAAGACGGGGGTCTTTGGGGGAAGACATGGTGCCCTAAGACGCCTACGCCCAGAGGGGCGGTAGTATGTCCTTCGTTGGTCCCGTCCCCGACCGTCCCTGGCCTCGGTGATTATCGCGCGCTGCTGCGAATGCTCTTCGCTGTCCCTCCGTGTCACCCCGTCTGTCCCTGGACTCAGGTGGTTGCCTTGCGCGGCCGCCAGATTCCTGTGCTGGCCATGTGCCCAGCCGCCATCTGTCGAATTGTTTGGGGTCCCCGCGCCGGTCTCATGAGAAGGGGGCGGTGAAGAGTGAGGCGACGCGCACGCGCGGCGGAAAGGCCCGTCCCGCAACCCTATGCCTTTCACGCTTACTCTACCGCGTATGACGTTTAGATACGATTGTCCATCGCCACTATACTTACGCAGGACGACAGATTTTCCTCTTGAGGTGCAAATAGCGATGATCAGTTGGAAGTTAATGACCGAACCCCTTTCCCCCGTAGAATCTTAACACGGGCGGTTTCGGAGGTCCGCGGATCCGATTTCTTCTGGCTCCCCGTTTTAATCTTATAATATAAATTGAAAACGGGGTAAAAATCGGATCCGTCGTTAAAAAAAGACCGAACACGTATCCAGCAAATCCGAAATCAGATCCGTGCGGACGGAGATCGGATCCACCGAAGCAGACGCCAAAACCACAATTGGATCCGCGCGGATTTCACGGGATCCGACGGTGGTTATGCCATGCGCGTCTGCTCAAGACTTAAAGCCGTCGATCCAGGCCCAAGAGGAAAAAATCGTCCTGGGGATGTAGTGGTCGCAAAAGGAGGTGTTTCCCATCTGGGCTCAAGCCATTTCGGCTTGGGGCCGAGCTCGCCCGACTCGTCGTGCGGGGCACGTCGCCGGAGGCGTTGGCCCTGCCGCCTGGCCACGAGCTCGCACGGCATGTGGTTGTGGCAGGCCTTGGGCTGCACCGTGGCCGAACTGCC